CTTTTTTATTTAGTTGTTTTATTTATTTATTTAAGTTTTATTTGGGGCAACATGAGGACTGCAGCCCAGGAGGCAGCACCTCAGATAGCTCTGAGAAACGGCTTCAAAGCGGCAGTGGTGGAAAGTCAATATATAAGGTTTTGGTGAAGGGGGAGTTCAATACCATGAAGCACTCAATTTACAAAAGGTTTTTTTGTTGGTCATGAGGATCTGATGTCACCATGAAGGGATTTAGTGCTTCTCTAGATATGAGGAGATGCAAGGATTGAGATAATAAAATCTGTTCTAAAAACATCCAGCCATCTAAAGATCTGTCCCACCAGGCTCCCTGGAGCACAGAGGGCCTCACTCCCCTCTGAACTCCCTCGGGGGGTGTTGAAGGTCACCAGCTATAGCAGCATGGGGTTCAATCTCAGTATAGGCAGATGGCAAACGCCTTGTTGTTCAGTCATTGGCAATGCCCTTGGTAAGTGCAGATTTTTGTAGTTGACACTTCCATTCGGGAAGTTCCATAGTTGTCTGTTGCTTGTAGAGTTGCTAAGCTAGGAGTTAGTGGGAAGCTCTCCAGGAGTGCGGGGCTTCCTGGAGACCCTCTCCCATGTTGACACCTATTTGGTTTTTCCTCCCAGGCTGGACGGGTTCCTCCACCCTCCTACTCTGAAATAACCTGCCAGCAGGAGCTGTAAAGAAAGGCGTTAGGAGGGCCAGGATTCAGCCTTGGCTACTAAATCCTTTGGGTCTTGTTTTCCAGACATTATGCCTGGAGTTACCCCCCTTCCCCAATGCCCCCTGGCTCATGCTCTCTAGAGAGGGACCTCCAGTCCCTTGCAAAGGAAGGCAGCCACCCAGCCTGGTGCACAATCAGAAGCCATTTAGAGTGGCCAGCCTGCTTCTCTGCTCTCATTCCCATCATCCCCAGCCCCAGAGGTGCCTGGGGCCACCAGTTCTCCCAACCCTTTGTTTTCTGCTCTGGTGATTAGCTTTTCCTGCTGCTGCTCTAGGTGGAAAACCAGTCTGTCCTCTCCTTCCAGATTACATTATCTCTTGTCTTCTCCATGCTTTCTGTTCTAGAATTACATGTTTGTTTTCAAATCCCTTTTCTAAAATTCTAGTGGGATTTTGGGTAGAAGGGACAGTAGATACTTGCAACTAATCATGTTCAACCTTCATGTGCCTATTAAACATCTTCCCCAAGGGACGGTAGGTTCCCTGATGGCAGGGGTTCATTCCACTCATTTCACACTCAACATCTGGACAGTGACCCATGCCAGAATAAACGATGGGCTTTGAATGGAGGACCTAAGTCGGTATATGACTGCATACATGACAGGCACCTGAGAAATAACGATGTCGCACATTCAGAAACACACATGTTCTAGTATATGCTTAATTTTTTAAAAAGTATAGCCGATTTACAATGTTGTGTTAGTTTCATGTGTATGGCAAAGTGATTGTGATATATAAATATATAAAAATATATATTTACATATATGTCTTTTTTTTTCAGATTCTGTTTCCTTTTTTTGTTTTTCGGCCTATCTTGCAGCATGCAGGATCTTACTTCTCAAACCAGGGATCCAACCCGCATCCCCTGCAGTGAAAGTACGGAGTCTTAACCACTGGACTACCACAGCAGGCCCATATTTCTTTTATTTAACTTTAACTTTTTGGGACCATTGTTTGCCACATGTAACACTGCAAATGGATACTCAAGGCCAAAGTTGGAGAAGTTTTAAACTGGTTTAAACTAACTTAGTTTTCATTTAAAGCTGATTTTTCATGTGTGGCTTGTACATTAATTTCATTATTTTATATATATTGGTATTTTATAGTCATGGTCAAACCTGTCATGTACAATGGATTTTATCAGTCTAAAATAATTATCTCAACGTGGTTGTGGCACATGTTTGCTTAAAAACTCATGTCTAAAAAAAAAACCAAAAAAAACCCCTCATGTCTTATCCGAATAAAGTCCATGCTCTGCCTGTAATCCAGCCCACAATTACTTCCAGGATTCTCGATCTGGAGCAGCATAGATGCCTCTGTGTTGGGACTGGAGATGGCCTTGAGCCTCTGACTTCCTGGGTTTCATTCTTTCAGTAGAAAACTCTTCTTATTCCATCAAGACCTATTCTATCCAGACCCATCTTTTAACTCTCATCTCTCTGAGGAATGTCTTTTTGTTAGCATGACAGTGTGACTGTGGTTTTTTTTTTTTTTTTTGCCTTCTGATAAGCACCATACCTGTACCTTACTTCTGTAACCAAGCTATCCCAGAAGAGACCCCCATCCATGCCCTCTACCTGCGTTTTATCTGTACAGAAACTTTAAAGAATAATTTTTAAAAAAAGAATAAATTTAATCAGAGAAGTGAGAAAATGAAGAAAGAAAACAGTCAAGTAAGACAAAATGATAGTTCATCCATTAAACAAAGCCAAGGACCTGTGGCTCTTTCTCAAGGACTACAGATAACATTCTGAGCCCTGTCCTTTGATCTGTTTCGCAGATACTGAAATCCCCACCAGATGGAAGAAGTTAAGTACACGCTGCCCACAGGCACGCAGACCCCAGACCAGTGGGAACCAGAAGGGTGATGATGCTGACTCTCCATGACGTCACCACCAACCAATCAGAAGAATGTCCACGAGCTGCCCTTTGAACACTGTGACCCCTCACTACCCGCTCCAGGGTGGCTCCCTTTGCCTTGCAAAGCAGTAAAAGTTACACTTTCCCACTTCACCTAAAACTGTCGCCGTGTTTCTACGTGGCACCGGTGAACAGAGGCCAGGTTTCGGCCACACTCTGAACACTGAGCACAAAGGGCCTGAAATCCTGTCAGATGTTTCTCTGGTTCATTTCTTATTGGTCCATTGTGCAACAACAGCACTGAAATGGTTATTCAGTTCAATTATTCACCTGAGGCTCCACCCTTTTACTTGCTCCTAGTCTAAAGATAAGAAGGTAATTACACTTAGTTGTTGAAGTTTGTCATAGACTCCCTGGGTATTTCTATCAGCAAAGGGGCCACAGTCAACTCAACTGTCCCGGAAACCTCAACTCCTCTTCAAGAGGGAGCTTAATGAACAAAGAAGAGATGCCCTTTGCTTGGGGAACATGTTTATTCTGAAATAATGCAAAACAAAAATGCTTAAAAAAAACTTACATTGAAAAGGTCTGATGTCAGAAAAATTGTTGTAATACTGAACAACAGAATGAATTATACTAAGAGAAGGCCTACAAGATGAACACATCCTTGGAAGTAACTCCCTTGGACGATCCATTATCAAAGGGGGTAAGAGAAGTGTGAACTGGTTATCACCTTGCAAGAGGACAAGGCAGCAACATATATCAAAGCTTTAAAAAACATTCACCTGGGTCTTCCCTAGTGGGAAGACTCTGTACTCCCAATGCAGGGGACCTGGGTTTGATCCCTGGTAGGGGAACTGGATCCCACAAGCTGCAACTAAGACTCTGCAAGCTGCAACTTAGACTCGGCCCAACCAAATAAATAAATAAATTTAAAATATTAAAAAAAATTCACCTCTATTAGCCCAGTAATTCCATTTTTTCGGGAATGCAGTCTAAAGAAACAAAGCCATAGAAAGTCTTGTACAAACACGTTCATTCCACCATTCATTATCAAATAAGGACAATTGGACTGTCCCATAGCAGACAAATTGGTTAAATTAAGGCACAGGAAGGCAGAGGATTCTATTGAGAAGGAAACAACCTACTTCAGTATTCTTGCCTGGGAAATCCCATGGACAGAGGAGCCTGGTGGACTACTATCCATGGGGTCGAAAACGTCAGGCATGATTTAGGGACTGAAGCAAACAGCCACAGGCACATATGCATAAAGGAATGAAAAGTAAGCAGCCATGAAAAATGTTCTAACAATGATTCAGTATGACTCCCCAATTTTGCTTAAAACATGTTCCTTGCCTATATATAGATGTAATTAGGAAGAAATATACCAAAATATTCGCACTTTAACAGTCGGCTAACAGGTCATTATCTCCAGAACCTGGTGCAAAGCAGTAGGAAATAGTAAACGCTCAAGGCATGAAAAATAATTATTAGAAAATGTATATGCAAGGGAGGAAAGTTCAACATATTTTTGGCTTAATGAATATTAGTTATCTTTGACTAATGGGATGGTGTATGGTCTTTATATTACTAGATTCCAAATTTTCTAGGACCTTGTCATCACCTAAGTTACAGGGATCACATAATAAACGGATTTGATTCCCTATGGCTCAGGTAATAAAGATCCTGCCTGCAATGCAGGAGCCCTAGGTTCAATCCTTGGGTCGGAAAGATCCCCTGGAGAAAGGAATGGCTGCCCACCCCAGTATTCTTGCCTGGAGAATTCCACGGACAGAGGAGCCTGGCGGGCTACTATCCACGGAGTCGCAAACAATCAGACACTACTAAGCGACTAACACTTTCACCTCCCCTCAGACGGCCTCCCACAAGAGATGGTCGGGGGCTGGGGGAACCGGCTTCTGGAAGACAGGGTCCTCCTGGTAGAACCTGGGCAGGTGGCGCGGGGCGGGGTCAGGACCGTAAGCCGAGCGCACAAAGATGGCGGCAGGCCCACCCCACCCCCGAGCCCCGCGGCCGGCGGCCGGAGCCGAGCGTTGCCGAACGCTCCCGAGCGTCCCCCGAAGCCCAGAGGAGTCCGGGAGCCGCGCGGGCGGGAGCGGCCCCGCCCCGGAGCCTGGGAGCGGCGGCGCCGGCGCGGGGGAGGGGAGGCCGGATGTGAGCGGAGCGGCCATTTCCTGTTTCTCTGCAGTTCTCCCCAGCTTTGGGTGGTGGCTGCTGCTGCGCTCCGGCGTTCCGTCGGCGGAGGGCGAGGCGGCGTGGACAGCGGCCCCGGCACCCCGCGCCTTGCCGCCCGCAGCCGCGCGCCCGCCCGCCCGCCCTCCTCTCCCCGAGCTCGCCGCCTTTCTCCTTAGCGCCCGGCCGCCGCCGCCGCCGCGGCCCAGCGAGCGGCCCAAATGCAGGCCATCAAGTGTGTGGTGGTGGGAGACGGGTGAGTGAGCGCGCCGGGCCCGGGGTCGAGTGCCGGGTGCTGGGGCCGGGCGGCGGGCGGGCGCCGCGGGCTCGCTTGGGGCCCGGCCCGGGCCTCTCCCGGGCCAGGGGCGCGGGGCTGGGGGCGCGAGCCGCCACCCTCCTCCGGACCGGGCGGCGCGGGCCTGGTTCCGGCTCTTTTTTTTTTTTTGGTGGGGGAGGGAGGGAATCGGCGATCGGCGGCGGGAGGGAAAGTGAACTCCACCCTCCCGTTTTCTCCGGGGCCCTCTGACCGCCCGGCAGAACTCGCCCGGCGCCGCCACCCACCCTCATTTGCCTGAAGATTGGGTGGGTTCAGGGAGTTGCCTTTCTTTAAAAAAAAAAAAGAAAAAATAGAATCCTCTCTTGGTTTTCCCATTAACCTCTCGAGCTGCATTGAGACCATCCGTGGGTCCCGGCGGTCTCTGGTCGGTCGTATTGGAGGAGTCTGTACAGGCACGGGCTGGTGTGGGGACCCTCAACTGATTTACCGGGGGTGCCTTGCTCTGGTACTTAGACACTTTTCTGATTTTTTAAAAAGTGACTGTTGGCTATTAAGGTGGAGAAACTTTTAGGATTTCTAGCTGCGAGGAGCTGGGTGTGATTAAGACTGTTCCTTTCTCTGAACGTGATGGGATCATTAAAAAAAAAAAAAGAAAAGAAAAATTGGTCTCTGCTTCATGCATTAGGTATGGGATGTCGCAGAACAGGCTCCCTGAGCCGGACTGCCCTGTGACTCAAGGCATTTCTTTTCATTACTGTCTGTGGTGGATCCAGGCCCTCGAGGAAGACAAGACTTGTCTTATGCAGTTTTTTTTCTCCCCTTGAAACAAGAATCTCAGTGTGATCGGAGCAAAATTGTGCGTCTCCTCATTGCTGGAGTAGAGAGTTAACAGGGAGGCTCCAAGAGTTAATACCAGTTGCAACGAAGTCAGAATGCAACTGGCACCTATTTGGAGTCTTGTGAAGTTGAAAGGAGAGTTGTGGAATCCCTGTTCCCCAAACTTGTCATTAGGGTCGATGGTGCTTTCTTGCCTCTGGATGAATTTAGGAGATCTCGGTTTCTTAAGATCGTTGTAAATTAGACATTTGAATTTGTTTCTGTATCTAATTCAGATCCTTGAACACAATCAGACAACTGATTTTTTTTTTAAAAAAAGATGCCCTCTGTATGGTTTGTCAGGCTCACAAATGTGAAAGATTATTAACACTTCATGCTTCTGTCGAGATAATCAGAAATTGTAAGTTTCTACTTAGAAATATGTATGGTGCTTGTTCTTTTTTTAACCCATTGAAAGAAAGCTTTAATTTTGTGGAGATGGGGAGGATGTTCAGTTAATTGGTTTAAGGGTGAAATCACTAAATTCATTTAAATGAAGTTTTGATCCTTCTGCTCCTGAAGCATGACATATGTCATTGTCTCAGGAACATTGTAAATGATCTGGATTTCCTTTAACAGTTAAACAATGCAGGATCAGTAATTCATGCCAGTTTCTTTAAAAAGTCAAATCGCTGATAATCCATTATCTAATCCTAGAATATAATCTTATTTGAAAGATTTAAAAATACAAGCACAGGATATAGTCAGTTTACTCAATCAATAGGTACAGATTGTGGACCTCTGCTGTTTGCATCAGCGTGTTTATCTGGTCTAATACTTGTTGAATGCCTCCTGTGGGATCAAATCCCCACCTCACCACTTGGGGGGATACCCTGAGCAGATCACACGTTCCCCAAGAGAGGTGCCTCGAGGGGAATTGTGAGGGTTCAACCAGGTGCTGGAGGTGCCCGGCCCCTCCCGAGTGCTTAGTGAGTGCTGGATGCCAGTAGTTCTTGATTATCATTGCTGTTTTTATTACTCTGAGGTACTGCTCTGCTCTGTGAAGAGTGTTAGGCATAAAACATAGTGGCCTTGAGATTTCAGTCAGTTTTTTAAAAGAATTATTTTTGTTTGTGCTGGGTCTTCTGTTGCAGTGAGGGCTTTTCTCTAGTTTTGGGGGGATTACTGTCCAGTTGGGGTGCTCGGGCTTGAGTAGTGGCTCCTCGGCTCTAGAACGCAGGCTCAGTAGTCGTGGCTTAGTTGCTGCGCAGCATGTGGGATCTTCCCAGGCCAGGGATCGAACCATGTCCTCTGCCCTGGCAGGCGGATTCTTTACCTCTGAGCTGCCAGGGAAACCCCCTCTGTCAGTTTTTTTAATACTGTATTTGAACATTGATGTTGACATTAGAAGTGAAATATACCTTTATGAAAAAAACCTTGAGCTGTGTTGTCAATACTTTAAATTAGGGGTGAACATAGGGCAAATATTGCTTCAGTTAGCAATCTAGATAATACTTTTTCCACCAAAAATATTTTTCTTTCTGCTTTTGTCTGAATAAAATATATTCCTTGTAGGAATATTTTGTTAAAAAAACTGTAAAAGCTGTAAAGTGCAGGTCTAAATTTTGTGAGGGGAAGAAGTTGCTTAATGTTGTGGAATTTCAGGCAATTGGGGCAGTTTAAACAGGGAAGGCAAACTCGTTGAGGTTCCACAAATTGCAAGCTTCCTTATTTTAAAAATATTCTTGGGAATTATGGTTAAAGGCTATGTCCTAACTGTATTATAATTAGCACCAATTAGCCTATATTCTTCTAATGGATTATTTTCTATACAGCAATCCAGTTGGTATTGAGTATAAAATATGAGATAAGTTTTGATACTTTTTAATTCTGTTAATTCTCCCGTGAAGCCTGATTCTGTCCTTAACAAAGGTTTTGTGACTCTTAATTTGGGGGACCTCTGTCCCCCAATTTTCTCTCAGCTTTACTTGGGTGAGAGAGCATCTCATTCAAATATTTATGAACTTTTAATTGTTTTTTTTTTTTTTTTGACTGCTTGATTTGGGGCTGGGGGTGAGTGACTTAACCTTTCCCCCCATTTTATTCCAGACGCTAGAGGTTTCTGCAGCCCAGTGTCTAATTTAGACATTGCTGTCCAGGAATTTTTTTAGTTGAGCTTGATAAATGCCTTCCATGATGTCATCTTGATAGGAATGTATACTACTGGTTCTTGCCCACTTCATTGAACAAGCAGCCGTGGCATGATCCATGAGTTTGTTTCAGCTCTTCGGGAATTGCCTTTGTGTGTTTTTATCTCGAATTTACGTTTAGTATTTGATCTTTTTTTTTTGGTTTTTAGTATTTGATCTTTGTTGGTACAATTGTGTTATATATATATATTTTTTAATTTCAGATGATAATTAATGCCAGCTAAATGTTTGGGGTTAGGTTCAGTGGAGGAGTGTCAGGAGTCCGTTTTGAGAAACCTTAAAGCCACCGTTTACACTCTGTCTTTTGTATTAGTCAGCTGGTGTCTGTACTCTCTCACCTCTGCGTCACCAGGAAGCTCTAACTTAAAATTGTAGTCTTCCTACAAAGGGGGTGTTTCACCAGCAATCCTGCTCCCAGGGCAGTTAGCACATATCACCAGATGGAACTTTTCCCTCCATCTTCTTGATGTGAAAGATGTCAAACATGGAAAAGTTGAAAGAATAATGCGTTGAACTCTCACATACCAACCACTTAGATTCTGTAATCAACAGTTTGCTCTGTTTGCTGTATCTCATGGGAAGTTGTTCCCATTTGGGGGCAATAGTTTAAGAGGATTTGATAACAGAAGTTGGTTTTGGAAGGAGAATGGGGATAATACGCAGATATAAATTCCTGATTTTGAACTCTGCATCTTTAGCTGACACATGTAATAAGCTAGCCCAGGGTTAGGCTGCTAGATGGTTCTAGGACATTGTTCAGTAATGGCTGCTTCAGATTCAAATTCTGTCAGAGGTAGCATCTTCAGCCTTGAGTGTTCTAGTAACTTTAGTGTTCAGCATCTGAACTTTTTGGAGTCTCCCATGGTGATAACAACTGGCTTTCTGTTAGTTGGTTGGGGATGTCTCCTGTTGGTGGCAGGACGTCAGGGGCATTGCAGCTAGGGTTTTGCATTTTGGTAGCACTAAATTGCTCTGTTAATTCATACAATTTTTGAGCTTACTCTCTGGGTAATTATACATTTAGGATTAGTGTAAAGAGTCCCCAAATCCCATTTCTCAGCACAAATTGAGGACTTCGATTCAGGGTCTTTCGTTAATGCAATAAGTATTAGTATTTTATATATTTGATACTTACAATTCATGTTCCGTCCTGTTCTGTTAATTTGTTCTTAAGATCCTAGGTATTCTTAGGGATCGGGGGATTGGAAGGTGGTGAAAAGGAACAAACTTCCTGTTATAAATAAGTGCTAGGGATGAAATGTAGCAAATGATAATTAACACTGCTGTACCTTATAGATGAAAGTTCTTGAGAGAATAAATCCTAAGAGTTTCCATCAAAAGGAAAAAATTTTCTATTTCTTTTATGCTGGCTCATTAAGAGATGATGGATGTTCCCTAAACCTACTGTGGTAATCATTTCCTGATGTATAGAAATTAAGCACCTTAAACTTACATAGTGCTGTGTGTCAATTACACCTCAATAAAACTGGGGGAAAAGAGCTAGATACTTCAGGCAGCAATACAGGCTCCTTATTTAGGTTTACAGTAGTCATTGGAGAAATCTGTTTTTTCTGCCCTACTGAGAGAACAGTGGGTTTTTTTTTTGTTGTTGTTGTTGTTTTTTAATGCAATGCAGAATCTTCTTGTTTTTCAGTTTCCTGGATTTTTTTTTTTGGCTGTTCCAGGCAGCATGTGGGGATCTTAGTTCCCGGATCAGGGATGGAACTTGTGCCACTCGGCAGTGGAAGCCAAGTCCTAACCACTGGACTGCCAGGGATAGTCCATCCCTATTTTAATGGGAGGAAATTGCGAGTGTTTCCGGATTTACTGATTCCATGTGCTTATATGTGCTCAGTTCCTGTTAGATTAAAATGTTGTGGTGATTTGCTGTCACTTAGAACCTGGAAATAAGTATGTTCTATCTACCTTGTCAACTTTCTAACCAGTAAAAGAGCTAGTAGCAGTTGTGATTATTTATCACAAATAAGTAAAATACTCCTTAAATTTCAGAAGCGTGCTTATGTGAACGTTCTCCCAGTAGACTCATGCCCCCTTTCTAGTTACAGCATTTTTCAAAGATTAAAAAGAAAAAGAGGGGGGAAAAAAGATTACAAAGTGAGTGAACTGAGCAGTTACATGTATAAAATTGGAAATTCCAAAGTAAATAGTAGCTTCAAGAAATTCCGCAGCAGCGTCAAGTGAAAGGCTAACCAGATGCCGTTTCCATTCTTCCTGTGGGAGAAGCGTGACTTTGTCTAGAGCTGTTGTTGACTGTGGCCTGTAGCTTGTAGCATTTATTTGTGGAGTGTGTTTAAAAGGAGTGAACAAACACTAATGGGAGGTAAATAACCCTTTTCTTTCTTTTTTTCTGTTTTTAAAATTAAGTAAACATTTAAATCAAAAGTTGGACATGTACTTATTTAAAAGTCAGAGCTTTATACTTTACTAATTTTCTTAGAGAACGCATGTCTATATCTAAAGGATGATTGGTGATAAAATTCCCAATCACTATCAGGTGATACCAGTACCTTGGGGTCCTTTACAGCGAAACCTTGCGAAAGATGAAGCCTCAGCTGAAGATCCAGTTTCAGGAAAAGAGATTTTGGCATATTTAAAACAGTTGGTGTGTGTAGTAATGGCTTTGTTCCTCATACATAGGAGAGCCCTAGGAGGGATCTGGAAGTGAAACTGTGATGCTTTTAATGCCACATTTAAAACCTTCGGAGCTGCTTCCCTGTGACATTAGGAGGTGATGACTATTGACATTTTTACACAACAGCACTTGCAGGTTTGAAAAGATGATCCCTCTTCACAGCCTTCAAGTGCGCTCTCCTCCTCGGCTCCCACTGCAGCCCCCGCGTGAGCTGTGTTTATCCTGCCTGACACCCCGGTAGCTGTCTGAACGGCCCGCTGCTCCGCACCCTGACTCCCCCGCCGCGGTCCAGGCCACAGCGTCGGTTCCTGGGACAGAGCGGCGGCGCTTCCTTCCTTCTGCCCCCAGTCTCAGCCTCTTCAGTCCTCTTCCCACATTGCCCAGAGAGGCTGCTTCTGAAAATGCAAATCTAATGATTTCTTGGCAACTAAAAATCTTCTGTCACTTCCCAAGTAGTATCAAGTTCCAGGTCTTGAGAAGAAGTGACAACCTCCTTAGACTTCCCTTTGCCACTTCCCCCTTCTTTCTTCATCCTTCAGTTTTACTGGCCTTCCTGCAGTCTGGGCCTCCCTACATGCTGTTGCTTTTATCTAGAATGTTCCTCCCTTCCGTGTCCCACTCTGATGTTGCAGCCTCCTCTGCCCCCAAGACAGGGTTGATCCCTGCGCTGTACATTTCTAGAACATCTTTAACAGCATTCATCACATCTAAAATGTTATGTAATGGACACGTGTCTCATTTTTTAGCTTACTAAAACTGCATAAGTTCCATGAGATCCTGTTCATGGCAGTATCTTTAGCACCTAGTATACTTGCTGGCATACCATGCAGTTTGTTGGTGTAGACTGAAATTGAATCAGTGCTCACAATAGTTTTGGGATGAAGTTGGTAGTTTTGCATCCATCTTAGAGTTGAGAAAACCAAGGCATAAGGAAGTTGAAACTTAAAAAACTCAGCCAGTAAGTGGTAGAGTTGCCTGTGGGTCACACATCCGGGCAGTGGCTTTGAATCTCAGACTCCTACTCATTCAGGTTCTTTTTTTATTTTTTTTAACGTCCTAAGCTTTTAACAAAATGTATGGCCAGTGAGTCATTTCTGTTTAGAAAGCCTTTAGGAGTTGGACGGCAGCCCCTGATGATGTCATGTTTGACTGTGAGGTCTTTGGGGTGGGGGAGTTCCAGCTTTTGTTAAGCCTTAATAATGTTATGAGTGAAGCAAGTATTGGCAGGACCGCCTGGGCCTGTAATCTGCCCTTGTTGAGAGGTTTTTGCCTTAAGCTAAGAGTGTAAGGAAAATAGAAAGGCACTTAACTTCTGTATGGTTGTCCTAATTGATAGTTGGTCGAGATTGAACAGCAGAGTCTTAGGACTCCTGCGCCCCAGTGTATCATGTGACCTTGGTGAGCCACAGAGGAGAGCAGGGAGCTGGGCCTGTGAGGAGCACTTGTTTGGGGAGTGAGCCCAGGGACTCCGAAGCCCCCAGAGCCACCGTGGGAGTGGTGTACAGTTTGGAGACCGTGTCGGCTAGGTGTCTGCATTGCTCAGTGGGAAAGAATCTGCCTGCAATGCGGGAGCCGCCGGGTTTGATCCCTGGGTCTGGAAGATCCTCTGGAGAAGGGAATGGTACCCCACTCCAGTGTTCTTGCCTGGAGAATCCAATCCCATAGATCAAGGAGCCTGGTGGGCTACAGTCCATGGGGTCGCAAGAGTCGGACACGACTGAGCAACTTGGCATGCACGCACCTGTTGGCTAATGGTGCAGTGATCAACTTAATGTTTAGGTGATTTTGTTGTTCAGTTGCTAAGTTGTGTCCTCCTCTTTTGCGACCCCATAGACTGTATCCTGCCAGGCTCCTCTGTCCATGGGATTTCCCAGGCAAGGATACTGGAGTGCCATTTCCTCCTTCAGAAAGTCTTCCTGACTGGGTGGTACCCCTCTCAAGTGGTTGGGAGCCTTTCCTCACTGCCCTGGCACCCTGTACCGGCTTGCAGTTATGTGTGGGAGGCCCTCCTGTGTTCCTACGCTTTTCTCGCTAGTTCTCTTCACAGCTGTTTGGGAGATTTACTTCACTGTCCCTGAGCCGTTCTTTAATCTGTCTGGAACATAGTGTGTTAACTGCTTGCTCCAAAAGTTTATGGTGAGATTTGAGGGTGGGCGTGGGGAGGAGGCACAGGAATACAGATGAATTAGCTGGCGGTGGTATGGGTGACTAAACGCTCTCTAGAGACCTGGCCTCTGGGATAGCCGGAGGGAAGGCTTGAGGGAGGCTGCAGGGTTGAGCCACCCCTCGAGGCAGCAGACTTTGCAACAGGGGACGTTTGAGAGGAGAGCTGTGTCTGCCTGTTAGTATTCATCGGAATAACTTGAGGGTAGATTTGCAGATTCTTGATGAAAGCCTTCTAGAGGTGTTCGCAGAGGAGACTTTTTTATTTTTATTTTTTCATCTTATTTATTTTTTTATTTCATCGATGTATTTGGCTGCACCAGGTCTTCGTTTCAGCATGCAGGGTCGTTAGTTGTGGCATGTGAACTCATAGCTGCAGCGTCTGGGGTGTAGTTCTCTGACCAGGGATTGAACCCGGGCCCTCTGCAGTGGCAGCACTGAGTCTTGGCCACTGGATCACCAGGGAAATCCCAAGACTTCCCGTTTAAAATACCGTTCCTATGGAGCCTTGTGCTTACCAATAACTCTTTTCTCAACAACCAGTGCAGACACCTAGAACTGAAACAGTGTGAAGCCTCCGGACTCTGCCTTTCTGAGTAATTCTAGTTTGTTTGCTTTAAATTTCAGGATAAAAATAGTATTAAATAAAAGGTCATAGAAACTGTTTTCTTTAATGCTTTAATATTTGATGCATTTGATGAATTTTCTGTAAGTTATTTTCACTGAATAATGAGAGCCAGGATTGCACTTATGTTGACTAGGGAACTTACACCATTTTTTTTCCTGTCTCTATAGAGCTGTGGGTAAGACTTGCCTCCTGATCAGTTACACTACCAATGCATTTCCTGGAGAATACATCCCCACTGTGTAAGTATTCTGAGTTAACCCGGATTAACTTGTCAGAGATATGTGGTTTTTTTTGGATTCCATTGACCTTTGTTCTGCTCTGCCTTTCTAAATCCTTAAGTGAAGAGAGGTGGTTAATCTTCCTCTCAGTCACTGAGGTCTAATTATAAGTTATTTGGACTTTTAAAAAATAACTATCTTTTTTTAATATAGTTTCTGCATGATGACAAAGCACACAGCTTTCCTAATTTATTTTCAGGTATTTAGGAAGTGAAAGTTAAACCACCTTTGAAGTTCAGAGACTGGATAGTCTTAAGAGTTTAAGATAAGTGGCTTTCTGTGTAAAGGGTCAAGGAACTGGAACAAAAAGGTCCATTATGTTTTAATTGGCCTTTTCTGGCCAGCAGTCCAATGGTTACATGTCATTGTTGACTTTTTGGGCTTTGGAATTGAAACCAGGGTGTGTGTGGCTGTGTGTGGCTGTGTGTGGGATGTGGCTGTGTGTGGGGGGTGTGGCTGTGTGTGGGATGTGGCTGTATGTGGGGGGTGTGGCTGTGTGTGTGGGGTGTGGCTGTGTGTGGGGGGTGTGGCTGTGTGTGGGGGGGTGTGGATGTGTGTGGGGGGTGTAGGCTGGGGGGGCGTATGGGAGCATCGGCTGCTGAGCTGCTGGGTCCCTTTTTGGCAGCAGACTCAGGTGGGGATGGAAAAGGGCCTCTCTGATGGTGGTCACCAGCGAGCTTCCGAGGCTCCGCCCTGGGCGGGATCCTCACCGCCCATCTGTGCTCGGTTCCTAGCTACTCACCTCCTGGAGCCCTGCACCCGAGCGTCCTGTGTGTGGGTGGGTGTAAGTGGAATTACACTGTCCAGAATTTGTGGTGGGGACTTCCCTCATCTCCATGTGTAGGTAGAGCTGTTGATGACTCGGCGGTCCCGTGGTGGACCTGACTCTGCTCACTTGCAAACAGTGCAGTGCAGATATCATTGCACACATCTTTGTGCACACGTGATAGATTGTTGGAGGAACTATGGCAAACCAGGAGAAATGGGATGTTTTAAGTTTCAATAGATGGTACACGGTTGCTATTCCCAATGCTGTCACTTTGAGCAGTGGTGACGGAAACAGCCCTTTCCTACCTACTGTGGTGAACACGGGCTGAAAACGATGACCGCGGCATTTGCATTTCTGGTCACCGGTGAGGTTGAAACCTTGTGAGCGTTTCCTGTCCCTGTCGTAATCTTCTGTGAACTGCCTGTCAAAATCCCTTGCTTATTTCCCACTGGAAATTCTCTGTACTGGTGGAACTCTGTATGAAGAATACTCATCCCTCTGTCTCTCACTTGTCTTTGAACTCATGATATCCTCTGCATTTTTATATAAATATGCCATTCTCCCTCTTCCCTGAGTTTAGTGTCTTATTAAAAAATATTCCTTAGTTCCCCCCCCCCCCCCCACCCCTAGGGTTTTTATCACTCTAGTTTTTATCTTTCATTCACTTGGAGTTTATTTTTGGTATGGCATGAGGCAAGCACCTGGTTCTCTTGCAGATTCTTATACCATTTTTGCACCACTGACTGCAGAATCTTTCCTCTTGTCACTGAGTAGAGGTGCAGCAGATGAGACCTCTTCCGTATGAAAGCTGGTTCGGTCATGAGCTTGTATAAATCACTGGAACCTACTCAGACCATGACTCTGCTGTCACAGCGTAGTAAGATCCTAAGCTTTGGTCTTAAGCGTGTGAAAATCAGTCCTGGGACTTGCCTTTAAAGGCTGGTGTGTTGTGTTCTGCCCGGCACCTGCCCCGGTCTCCCTTGAATGCCGGGTGTCAGTGAACCACTCCACAGCACTCAGCGTGATTTTTTCATGTCCTCCTCCTTTCTCCCTGTCAGCCGGTCGGCTTTCTGGGCTTCCTCCTGTTATAGGTAATTCATTTGTGTGTAGCAGCCTCAAATCAAACCCATGTGTGAACTCACTTCGCAAACATTACCCAGTAGCTTCTCGGATCTGATTTGCTTTGTGTTACTCTGCACACAGGTCCTAGGGTGGATTACCAAGGCTCAGCTGGGGACCAGCCTCCACCCAGGGTCGGGGGTGCAGGGGGTGTTCTGGAAACAACGGCCCTGCAGCCCTGCGGGGGGCCCCTAGCTGAGGGCGACTCAGGTGTGCGCAGAAAACCCAGCCCGTGGGGTTTGGAAGGGGACTCGTGCACTTGCCTGTCTTCCTGGGGAGAGACCTCACTGTCGTCTTCACCACGGGCAGGCAGGGTTCTGAAGCCGCCAGAGACCTGTTCTGGTTAAGACACATGCGGCTCGTGCATGGGTCTCAGCGGTGCCCGCACACCCCAGCTCCCGTGTCCCTGCACTGGGTGCCTGCTGGCGGGGCTGGCTGGCCCGCCCGCCCCGCTCAGCCCCAGGGGTGTCTGGCTCCGCGGCCGGAGGCTAACCGTTTTCCCTCTGTTCCACAGCTTTGACAACTACTCTGCCAATGTCATGGTGGATGGAAAACCCGTGAATCTGGGCTTGTGGGACACAGCCGGACAAGAAGATTATGACCGATTACGCCCCCTGTCCTACCCGCAGACAGTAAGGAGCCTGACTGATTTTAGTGTCCTTTGCACGTCCTGACGGTTTCATCAATTCATGCCACCTCTCGATTTGCCTATATTGCCATCTTTTGGGTATGCTGAGTAATAACAAATAACATTGAATTACTTCAGTACTGAGTATCTGCCTAGATGCAAACCAGGAGTTTGTCTGCTTGTTTTTCCGTTTTGCGCATCCTCAGTATTGACTCTGGTGCTGTGCATTTACAATCTTCCGTGTAGTTTAAGCACAGCCATGCGAAATAGGTGCAGTTTTGTTTTGGCAAAACTGCTTTAAGAACAGTTAGTTTCCTGGTTAGTTTGCTTTCTGACTGTTCTGTGCTGCAGACGCAAATTAAGCAGCGAAGATGAGGCTTCTTTAGATCAAGTTAGTAACTAATCCTATCGATTTAATACTGTTTTTCTATAAGATATATTTTTGCAGCTTTAGAACCTAAATCTTCTTGAGGAGGTGGAAGTTTCAGTTTTATAACGTGTCCACTGTGTCCAGTCTGACAGCCGGTAGCTTGGGCTTGCCTGCACATCAGCTAACCAGCGGTCTCTTTACTTCTTACAGTTAGGCCAGTGAGCTGGTGGCCACGTGGTCCGAAGCCACTTTTCTCTAAATAAGCAGTTGTCTCACTCGTGGTATTTCCTTCTTGTCACTCGTCTCTCGTTTGTTAAAAGTGTTGAAGACAACTTTGTGATCAGCCGGCCGGGGCAGTTTGCAGAGGCAGTTGAGCGAATTCCTGGGTTTCCCATCCCGCCCCGCGCGCTGTGTGACGGGGCAGGCGTCTTCACGGGAACCTGCCTGCGGCTTCCCAGGCTGGGGTGAGGTGGTCTCGGCGGAGCTCGTAGGCAGCCCCGGGCGCGTCTGCCCTCGGGCCCCTCCCTGTGTTTGTGCCAGTGGGGCTGGGGGCCCCCTTGGCTCCAAGGGGGGCTGCAGGACGCAGCCTTTGGGGGGCTCGGGGTCAGGGAGACCTCCGTCAGAGGGCCAGCCTCCGCCCCGAGACTGGTTTCATTACCCTTGTTCTGAGGGGTGAGTGTGAGTGAAAAGAATGAATTCATTCTAGTCTGCCCAGAGCTTGTTTTTTGTGTTTGAAATATGGCTATTTCCAGGCAGAAGTCATTGTCTTCTATTTGTTTTTCTGCTAGAGGAGTTGTCGAGGACAGTTTGCTCAAGCTGTAGATTTCTGCTGATTGTCCTTTATCTGAGTTCCGGGAACAGTGGTAAGCAAAGATCAAAACCATAAACTGGGAGGCTTGAATTGGCTGGCTTTTCAGGTAGTCTGTGGGTAAAAGTGAACTGTGATTATCTGTTAAAAATCAGCCAATTAAAAAAAAATCAGCCAATAGTCACCAAAAAGTTTGACTCCTTCAGTATGTTTAGGGAAGTGCTCTGTACCAAGTGGCTGCTCGCTGAGTGCAGGTTTCAGTGGGATTTGCGCGAGGGGGAGAGGAGGCTGCTGGGCTGGTTTAGTTGCTAGACTCTTGGACCGCAGGGACTACACAGCCTGCCAGGCTCCTCCATCCAGGGAGTGGTTGCCGTTTCCTCCTCCAGGGGTAGAGTGGGATCCTCAATCAGCTGGATCTGTCTGGAAGGTGGCAGGTCACTTCTGAGCGAGGAGAACCGCCTCCTGTGACTCAGGAGGTCCAGGGACGGGTGTGGCCTCTTTCTCGGAGGCAGTCGCTTGCAGTGAGTCCAGGGTGATCTGGCAAGGTTCCCACTCTGTGCTGAGCGCACTAGATCCGTGACTGATGGAGTCAAGCTGCAGGGAGTGGGGCCCGAAATCCAAGCGGGTGCCGTCCTCCTGGGGCCGGGACCTAGACCCCTCACCTCCGCCTCGGGAGGGCGCTGGGCCACTTCTTAGGCCGGCACGCAGCGTGTGACCCGCCTGCTTAGGAGCCTGGGGGCGAGCCCCCAGCTGCTTGTTACAGCCTGGCCTGCCTGACTCCTGAGGATGAGCAGGCTGTGTGGCTTACTGAGGGGGAGCCGCTGAGTGCTGAGATACTGGGGCCTGAAAGGTCTCCTTTCTTTGGGCTGGTGTCCTGCCAGGGGGAGCTGGCCCTGGAAGTGGTAGCTGGCACTGGATTTTGTCTCGGCAAAGAGAAACCCCTGAACTTGGTACTAAATGGCACCCGGTCTCTGGTTTGCCTGTCCGTTTTGTAGGCCTGTCTCTGGCTCATCCTCAACTCTGCCGTGACCCACTCAGAAGGGCCAGCGGGACGCTTGAGCCTTAGTTGTCTGATGCACTGGGCTTTCCTCCAGCCGTGTTTGGGTTGCAGGCAGAAAAAGGAAGGAGGAAGGAGCAGGCGGATGGCGGCGTGTTAACTAATGTAGGACGGAAGGAGTTTGTCTCCTCCGTCCAAAAGATGTTCTGAAGAGCGGGAAAGGGTAGGGCAGATGTGGCAGAGGATGTTTTGACACCAAGTGTTTGGGGCCAACCCCGTGAGTCTCCGCATCATTGCGAAGCTGTGGCATCACGTCCAGGCCTTGCGAGGACCCGATTCCGAAAGGTAGTGAGAGAAACTGACCTTCACTCTAGATTGTAAATCAGAGAAGCCTAGGGGAGATGAAGTTACAATAGTTGTCTCAGCTGCCTTTCTCTTGATTTGAGAATTCCAGATTCTTTGTTGCTGGAGAGCAAGTCTTTCCGTTTTTACGGGAACAGAGGAGTGAGTTGAAAGCATGGTGATAAACACTGGTGGCGCAGTCACTTCTGGGCGGGCCTCCACATGCTCGGGGCCTCGGCGCTGTTCTTTCAGGAGAGCAGGTCCCTGGGTTCGAGCCGCACCCCGCGAGGTTGCATCCCTCAGACCCGGCCACCTTTTGGGATAGTGTCCCGGACGGGAGGCCTGCTGTACAGATGGGCGCTTCTCCTGCTGACTTCACCTGGGCTTGTGTCTGAGACCTTGGCCTGGGAGCTTTGAGGGTGTGCGGTTGCTGACGGGCGCCCTTGTTGAGGGAAGGATGCCCCTTTCACACTGAGCAGGAGCCGTGGGCTTGGTGGGCACCATGCCAGTTCTGTGGGGAAGGAGCCTGTCTGTGTCCCCCACCCAGGGTTTCCCGCCCTGGGTCTCCACCGTCTCTGACCTTCCCGAGCACCTCCTTGTGCCCTGTTGGCCAGGGCGATGGAACGATTCAGCGGCGCCTGGTGTCACGGGTGTGCTGCATCAGCATGTGCTTTGGGTCCCTTGGGAGGGTTGAGACAGGATTCAGATGAAGACTAGGTAACGGGTTATAATGGCTTTCTTCTCGCTTTTTACTAAACTCAAACAAAGTTCTCGTGCATTACTAGGTTGGAGAAACGTATGGTAAGGAAATACCTTCCAGGGGCAAAGACAAGCCGATTGCCGTATGTAAAACTCTCGCTCGACCTCAGTTTCAAGCCTTACTGTTCTCTGGGCTCACTTAGTTTCCCTAGGATTTCCTGGTGAGCCTCACACTCCCTGAGTGCTCTGTATTGATCTACTCAAGGTGAGGGGTTTGGGGGACAGCCCACCTTCTGACTGCAGCCCAGCAGTCCGGGCTCTGCCTCCTGCCCCTCACGAGGGCCAGGCCTCCCCGCGGCTCACACAGCCCCAGCGCTTGGCGGGCGCTCCTTCCTTCCTCCCACTTCGTTGTCCGGTGTGGGGCTTGAGGGGCGCAGCTGCTTGCTTGGGAGCTCACCCGTGCCTGCTTGGGGTGTTGTGATCAGCCCTGGTGTCGGTGATTCTCGGACACGCACGTGCATGCGCTCGCCTTTCAGTGTCGTTGATGAGAGGCTGTGGTGGGATGGTCTTCCTTCCCTTTCAGGTGCAAGAGATCAACTGGATGGAAAGGAGGTGTTAGCATGCGGACTGTGTCCATTCGCCACGTAGCATAGTTTTCCAGGGAAAAGTTTCATAAACCGAGCATCTTAGAAATGCTAAGGCATTTAGGCAGATACTTAAATTTCACTTTTTGGGGAACCATGCCATGCAACATGTGGGGTCTTCGTTCCCTGACCGGGGATCAGACCTGTGCCCCCTCCAGTGGGCGTGTGGAGTGCCAGGACCGTCCCAAGTTTCGGCCTATCCGTGATTCCCTGCTGGTCCTCCAGAGGGGAACCTCTTGGTGCTGGGCTCGGACGGCAGTTCTGTAAGAAGCAGTTTAACTAGAACCCTTTGACCTTGTGAAAATGTACTTAACATTCTGATAGGGAGCTTAGTGAAAAGCGTACCATTTGTAGATAATGTTTTTTTTTAATAGAAATATTGGCGTAGGACCCTGACTCTCGACCTTGTCCCTGTGTGGTGACTGAGCATCATGTTAATTCCGGTTGGAGTGGGAAGGGTGGGAAGGAGGCCTCCAGGAGTCTGAATTGGATGTCGCTCTGATCTGGTTGGATCGTCCGATCCAGTCTACATCTGAATTGGATGTAGCCTGAGTAACTCTGAGCGTGTTCTGTCCCCCACTCCCCTTCTCGGTGACAGGCGCTTCACGTGCTGTTCCTGCCTGGGGGGCCTGGCCGCACTGCGGGTGTCGGGGGCAGGCCCACGCCACGGCTGCTGTGTGCCGCGTGTGCCTGGGCTTAGAGTTTGCCCCGCGCCGCATGTAGAAACGAAGCGCCTTCCTCGCTGCTGACTCTTCTCAAAACCTCCTTGTGTTTTTTTATAGGATGTATTCTTAATTTGCTTTTCTCTTGTGAGTCCTGCATCATTTGAAAATGTTCGTGCAAAGGTAAGTGGGATTTTTTAGGAAAATATTCAGTTACATAATGTCAGTCTTGGGAAGAAATATTAAAAAATAAAATACCATTTACTGATAGAAACTTTCAGTTACTTAATTCTACTGCTTAGGCAGGTTTTGATATAGGTAATAGGTTTTTTAGGTGTACGCCTTGAGCACGCAGCATGCTGAAGATTCAGGGTCTGATTGAGAAGTGCTGTGTTTCTTGTGACAATAATGAAGCACTTTGGAGTTGGTGTAATAAAAATGAGGACCACACTTCATACTCTGGCATATTTCATGAACTGAGTGAAGACGGGGCGGGGGTTTGGTGAGGCCCTTCAGTTGGGCCCAGGGCCTTGTCTGGTGGGGGTCACAGTGGCAGAGCTGAGGCCTGGGGTGGGGATAGTTCTGTGCTCATCCTTTGAATGTGGGGGGGTGGGGAGGTGGGGATTTTGCCATGACTTAGGAACTCCGCGGGTTTTCCCACAAACCAGGTGGCTGGGGGCGGTCCTCTCCCCTCTCTCGCTGAGAAGTAGAGCTGTCTGGGGGGTCGTGGGTCCTGAGTCTCAGGCTGCTCGTCCCGCGACAGCCAGGCGGTGGTCCTGGAGGGGGTGAGCCGGCGGAGGGGCCGCGGTGACCCAGGGGCGGTGGGCACGGGTGGGCCCCCGCGCAGTGCAGCTGACGAGGGGTGCCTAAAGGAGAGTGGTGACTCCGCTCCATCTCGGCGCCTAGTGGTACCCTGAAGTGCGACACCACTGTCCCAACACACCCATCATCCTGGTGGGGACGAAGCTTGACCTGAGGGACGACAAAGACACGATCGAGAAGCTGAAGGAGAAGAAGCTGACGCCCATCACCTACCCGCAGGGCTTGGCCATGGCCAAGGAGATCGGTAGGAGACCCCCACCGTCAGGCGTGCCTTCCCGTTTTCACATGGGGTGGAGGCTGGAGTCCCAGCTGGGGAAGCCCCGCCTGCCTGCGGGGGCCGACCCCGCCAAGGGGGGCCCTCCGTGCTCCGGCCGGGGCGGGGGAGCCACCGCGTCCCGATCGGAGGGTGAGGCTGTGTTCCCACAGGTGCCGTCAAATACCTGGAGTGCTCGGCGCTCACGCAGCGAGGCCTCAAGACAGTGTTTGATGAAGCAATCCGGGCGGTTCTCTGCCCGCCCCCCGTCAAGAAGAGGAAGAGAAAGTGCCTGCTCTTGTGAACGTCCGCCCCCCACTGCGCCCCCAGGACCCTTTGTATGCTTTGCTCAGAGGTGGCGCCTTCGCACTCAATGCCAAGTTTTTGTTACAGATTAGTTTTTCCATAAAACCGTTTTGAACCAATCAGTAATTTCTAGGTTTTGTTTGTTTAAAGTGTAAGAGTTCAAACTTTCACATTCTATTAAAGTTCAGCCCTAAAATGACAAGCTTCCTTAAAGCCTTATTTTTCAAAGCCCCTATTCTTGCTCAGAGTTGCCAAAATACTTTGTGAACTAAGTTGCATTGTTGGGCTAAGAACACTAAGCGCTAAGCTGTGGAAAGACCTTTGTCTGGAAGAGACTGTAGCTTTGGAGGCAGGAGGTGCAGACCCTCGCTGACAAGTTTCAGGCGAGAAGAGCGCGCACAGCCTCCTTCCTGAAACGCTGCACCTAACGAGTCACGATGTCGCAGCCCACGTTCACTACCTAACACTGTACTGTACGTCAGCGCGCACGGGCCTAACAGCTCACTCTTTGGATCAGTCTTTTTGATTTTGTAGTGAGATTTTTTAAAACGAGTTAGTGTGTTAGCTCTTGTGAGATTCTGAACAGAACTCAGTGCTCCTTGCGATGAAGAGTTCTGTCCGTGGGTGCCCTGGGGTGGAGTGTGTGGGACGCTTGTCATCAAAGGATGGAGACAGTATTTTGACAAAATGTGGAGATTAATTTACACTACATTGTACACGTAATCATTAAAACTGTTAAAAGCATCACGGGTAAAGGTTTTAAAAGGTTAATTTCTGTCAAATGCGGTAGATAAAGAAAGGTCGGTATTATCAGTGAGTGTTTTCTTCAGCTTTTCCTTTTCCTAAACCTGCCTACCCCTTCTGAAATTGGGCATTTGATCCATCTTTGACCTGGTCATCCTCATAGTTGCTAACTTAGTAAGTGCTTTTCTTACAGAGCCCATTCTTAATGAGCAATATGCCTCCTTGTATTATAAACTCTTTCTGAATATGCATTAGAAAATTTTTTTGTAGGTTAGTAAAAGTGCACTCCTGTTTTCATGTTGCTTTACTCAAAGCTAATAAGTGCTTTCCTTAGTTTTCTAGTAAACTAGGTGTAAAAATCATGTGTTGCAGCTTTATGTTTTTTAAGATACTTCAGATAATTCCTAAACTGTAAGCCTCACCGTCACTGGCCAGATGACCGACACCGCACCGTGACTAACGACTGACCCCTCCTGCCTCACCGCGTGCACACGCTTCCTGTCCTTGCCCTAACCGTGTTTCTTGGGGTCTGTGAGGTTCCGTCAGCCCCGTGCTCGTGCTAACGAAGTTCTGTACAACTTACCCACTGGCAAGAATACGAGCTTGGACCTTTCAACCACTAGAACAAAATTTTTTAAATTGACAGTTGCAGAATTGTGGAGTGTTTTTACATTGATCTTTTGCTAACGCGATTAGCAGTATGTTTTGCATGTATGACTTAATAAATCCTTGAATCATATGATCAGTAATACTGGAGTTCTTGAGAGCGTGGGGAACCACCGTCTGGTGTCTGCCTGCCTCACTGTAAAACCCTGGGTTGTTGGAGATGGTTGTGTTTTCATGCTGGGGGACAGGGAGTGGTCCCTCCATGGGGAGAAGATGGAGGAGCCAGTAGACAAGGGGTTATGAGGGCTGTCTGGTTTCGGAGCTGGTGAAGGCCGGCGAGACTCAGGTGATATCCACATGGGGATGTGTGTGGTGGCGTCTCGGGCCAGAGCTCTGGGCTGAAGGTGCTGGTGGTGAAGCGGGCTGGCAGCTGGGTAAGGTGGAGGCTGACAGACTGTCAGACCCTTCCTGGAGCCTGAACTTAGATTGATGGCATCAACAGTGCATGTTAGAAGCGATTTTCTTTATTCTTTTTTTAATCAAAGATAATGTAGTTTAAAGACCACCTCTAAGGGTTTGCTACAAAAACTGTAGTCTCTCCTTTTCACACCCTCCTCAGAGGGGTCTATTTTGAGTTCTTTTAAGTAATTCTTGGTACTTCAGACTCCACAGTATGTCTAAAACATATGCTTTTCTCTTACTTACCAGGTCACCAGCTTATCATAAAAGGATGTAACTTGGAAACAGCCAGAGGGAACAGACCTTAGAGGGCAGGTACCGGGAGGGGCTGGGCGCATGGCTCTCCCCACATCTCCACAGGTCCACACGGGAAGCGCTCCAGACCCGGCCCCTTGGGGTTTCCCCGCGGCTTCAGTTCCCTCACTGGCCACTGGTGACAGACGGCGCTTCCCCACCCCAGGGCTCGGGTTAAAGCGCGAGCTCTTCTGTTGCCCGTATTTTTGGTTCTCGCCGGCACTCATGACACTCCCACCCTCAGTACACCTTTCCTGCTCCCTCGATAAAGGCCTGCTGGGGGCTGCGCTGCCCTGGCCACAGAGACGCTCACCCGGGTAGTAACGGGACCTGCCCTTCTTGAGTTCGTGGTTCCTTTGGGGATAGTAATTTACCTTGTTTTCTGTGTACTTGATAATTTAACATCGATCTCTCCATCTGTTATCTGGATCTTTCAAGACATTTCATCAGTTTTCATTTCCCTATTCACAGAGCCCTCTGACCACCACTTCTCTTAATATTCATCTTTTATTTTCTGGATCTTGACTAAGGAGTCAAGTTTCTAATTTACTTTCTCATCTTGATGGATTTCCTAGAAACTTCTGGAGGAATACGTGCACCCCAATGTTCATCGCAGCACTGTTTATAATAGCCAGGACATGGGTTGTCTATTTTTGAGCCCTTGTATCTTTGGAAATCACTTCACTGTACCCGGATACTTTTTGGTTGAGTCTAAAATTCCAGGATGAAAGTAACATCTCTTTGGGTTTTTTAAAAAATAATTTATTTGGCTGTGCTGGGTCTCAGTTGTAGAATGCAGGGTATTTTCATTGCCGCATGGAACTCTTCCTCGTGGCCTGTGTGAACTAGTTCCGTCACCAGGGGTTGAACCTGGGCCCCTGCACTGGGAGCACTCCGGAAGTTTCAAAGGCAGGCCCTCCCCCCGCCCGCCCCACCCCGTCGTCTCTGCCTCCCCTCTGCAGGGGGCAGCACCGTGTGTCTCCGTGTCTCTCGGGGTCTGCTCGCGTCCTGGGTGGACCTTTTATCTCCAACCCTGTGCTCAGGGGGCTCCCTGTCTGGAAGCTCATCTCCCCTCATTCAGGCGTTGCTTTGGGTTTCCAGCTTTCATGCTCTTCCTGTCCAGCAGGTTTTTTTCGCTTTCCAGACTGTGGATCAGTTCTGTGGTTGCAGCACTTTTTCCGCTCCCAGGCTATAGCTAGGAGGGTTTGAAGCTTCTCCCAGGTTTGTTTCTCTCGGGCCTTTGTCCCTCAAGCGGCTGGACGATCCGTGGTGCGAGCTTGGACACGGAAAGCCGAAGGCGGACCTGACACCTAGCACGCAGGGGGTCAGGCCAGGGCAGTGTGGCTCGAGCGGCCCAGGATCGCCTTCCTTCCTGCCACTAGGAGTGCACAGGGATTACATTTAGAAATGAAATTTATGTGGCATTTTAGTTGAAGTTTTTTACACGAGCTTTCATGTGTCTTCAAAAGCCAGAGTGGTATGCCCCTGACAGCTGCCAGGCCTGAGGGGTGCGGGCGTCCCCGGAGGTCAGAAGGTTCTGGGAGCCGTGTGGGAGGGGCTGAGGAATACGTGCTGCACTGATCCCAGTGTCCGCTTCCTCAGCTGTCCCTCTGGCCAGCTCCCCCATCCGCTTCACCCCAGGCAGAGGTGTCCAGGGTGTCTCTGCAGACCGGGTTTGTTGTCTTTCCCACCTCACCAGAAGTCCCATTCCCTCCGGCCATCCCCCTTCCTGTCCCTCTGTCCCCTCTCGTTGTGGGTTTATGCTTTCTGAAGTCCGCTTACTGTCACTTCATGGGGTTTGCGTCAGGGGTGGGGCACAGTCGGATGCCCGGGCCGTGTGGGGGTCCAAGAAAACTCAAGGCTTCATTCGTGTTGTTTATAGTGAACAGAAAAACACATTCAAAATGCGACTGGTAAAACTACCCAGTAAACCAGACGTTCCCGGAACCGTCCACGGCTATGCAGGCACGCGTGATGTGTACCTGCTCCGTTTCTTACCTTACTCTTGAGTCACTGGCCGACCTCCACGAGCCAGAGTATCCCCCAAGAACTCGAGGGTGACAGAATAAGCAGAGGGCAGAAGACTGCTTGCCTCCCCCTCTGGTTTCATCTGGTTCAGAGCTCAGGGCTGAGCCTCACTCAGCGCCACTGAGGACAGAACCTCGAGCTGCGCCCTTGAAACTGAAACAGTCTGTGCAGCGGGGAAAGTCCAGTTTGCAGAGTACACCACGCCCCATGTGCTGATTCAGGCTGATCTACGTCTTCCTAAGGCAGGACCCAGTCTCCGAAACGGTGGCCCAAGGGGCAGGCGCTTACAGATCCATTAGGGTCTTAAACCTGATTCCCAGGAGCGGCAGGCCTATGGACAAGGGTATCCTGCAGCTCTGCGCACCTGCCCATCACCTCAGCGCTCTCCTAGCTCCTGAGTCTGCAAATACTGTGAGCAAAAGTACTTCTCAAGTTAGTCACATAGGAGACCCTCGACCTCTGGTAGACAGGAATCCACCTACTGGCCTTGCGGAACCCTGGCGGGGTCCACGGTCCGAGCAGCTCCCAGTCGCCCTGGTCATGCCAGGTCCACGCTGGAGCCTCCCCGGGCCGGGCAGGAAACGCAGGCGGCCCTGTCGGACACCACGTGGTCCAGGACTCTCATCAGGATGTCTGGCATGTGGTCTGTGAGCATCTTGGGGCCGATGAGTATTTTGCTGAATTCTGACTCGTGGGACCACCTCACGGTGTACCGAGCAGCAGGGTAGCAGGAGCACCTGGCGGAGGGGACAGCCCGTGAGCACCGCCTCCCGCGTCACCCCACGGGCCGCCTCTGGCCTCTGGCGGTGACCACCGCGGGGCGGGGCTGCCCACACTCACCTCCCTGAGGCGCCTTCTTCCTCCAGGTGGATGATCCTGCCGGGAGGGTAGAGCGGTGGGTACCTGGTGGGGGACTCGAGCGGGGACTCGCTGGAGAAGCTGTAGGCCGGGGACCCGTGCGCCAGCAGGCTGTGCTCCCCGAGGAGGGGCTGCGTCAGGTCGCCCCCATCCAGCTCGGTGGGAAGGTCCTCGGGGCTCCCTCCGAACAGTTCGTACCAGCACCCGCGCAGCAGGATCTTGTACTGCGGGGAGACCGGGGGGAGGGGGGGCGGCCCGCGTGACTCCAGAGACCCCCTGGGACTCGGGAGCTGGCGTCTGGGGGGTGGTGACCCCACAACCACGATGCCCAGCGCTCTTGTTTCTCAATGTGGGTCTCAGCAGTGTGAAGGCCAGGGCCCAAACTCTAGGGTCTCTGGGGCAGTGATGCCATCACACTTGAACCAATGTTTAAAAACCAAATTCAAGCAGATTTGAGGGGAAAATGACCCTTATTCTTTTCAGGCAAGTCCGTAAACCAGTTTTTTCCTTAGAAACATCAGATGCTAATTTTTTTCTTTTTTAGTTTGCGGGAAGCGTAAGTGGTAATGAGAAAGCTTATTTTTAAGTTTAAAATTTTCTGATTAGCAACAACAACAAAGTCACAAAATGAAGATGTTAAAAAGTAAAAATCATCTCTAATCCCATCATCTAAATAAAACCACATTTTGGTATATTTTTTTTGGTCACAGCTATGTATACTTCGTCCCCCACCCCGGCTTGAATCATATTCTGAGAGTCGTTTTTAATCCTGCCCTTTAACAAAAAAAGCTCTTCAGTACATCATGGGTGGTCTTCTCTACTGGTGAACCTAAGTGTACTTGTGGCCTGAGCTAAGAGGCTCCAAATCTTTGGAGACGTGGCCAGACCGGATCAGCAGAGCTGTCTGCACGCTGGCAGGGGACAGGGCCGCCCAGCCTTGACCGGTGTGGACAGCAGGAGTGCCCGGCCTGCAGCTCAGGGTGGGCACTATCAGCCTTTACCTCAGGATTAACCTCAGAGCTTAGGAAGGACAGCCCACAGCGCAGCAGGACCAGCGCCTCTTACTCCGGCAGCCTTATTTTCTGAGCTTTGGGACGAGAGGCATCAGAATGCTGTTGCTCAGGACAGGACTAAAGATGACAAAGAGCACATGACTCAGCCAAACAGGGATGGTTCTATTGAAGCATTTAATCTGTGCTTGCTTAGCCATCTGCCTTTAGGGCGTCTCTGTGGTCCGTGAGGGGAATGGAGGAGTTTCTAGCAGCATCAAGAGCCCTGGGCTGCAAGGCTCTGAATGAGAAGCATCCTCCGGGGGACCCGGACGGCCGGGTGGGGAGGCCCCAGGTCCCCTGAGTTACCTTGGGCTTGTTGCAGTGGGCGATCACTCGCAGGATCCTCCTCTTCAGATCTTCCAAGTTGGTCACACTCAACCTGTTGAGCAAAAGGCCAGACTGAGGCTTGGCACTTGGCCTTCTCCACCAGCCTGATCCCAGCCGGGGCGGCCTGCACGCTCACCTGGGAATCACGTCCTTGCCCAGGACAAGGGACACGATGAAGGTCTTGGAGTATTCATAAAGGGATTTGCTGAAAGAGAAAAAAAAGCTGCTTCAGGAAGGAGGCTTCCAAGAAAAAGCGAGTTAACCGGCAAGCCAGGGAGAGGTCAGTGTCCCCAGAACTCAGCTCTGTTCTCCATCCTCTAAAGGAGGAGAGAAATGAGACTGCAGTTACAGCAACTTGCTGAGAAAGTCCTAGGTGTCAACACCGGGCAGATAAATAAGGTCCTTAACCCAGTGTGGTGTCGTCAACAGTCAGAGGAAGCCGGGGAAGGGTGGACGTGGACGCCTCCTATGGGCAGGAGTGGTGCTGCGTGTCAGCACCAGGGAAGGACGGGCTCTCAGTGAAATGGTGCTGAGATAATGCGCTTGCTGTGAGGGGAGGAAATGAAACTGAAGCATACTATGCACAAAACCACCAAATTAAACAGATCACAGACCTAAATGTGAAAGGCCAGACTAAAAGGCTTTTAAAAGATATGACAGGAGACTAGCTCTGCATCCTTAGGACAGAGATTTCTTAAATAAAAGAGACCCAGAAATCATAAGAATGACAAATCAGTGTTAAAATTAAGAACTAGTAAGCTGAAGACTTAAAAAGACATCAGAGTGAGAGTATGTATAACACATACTTGCAACTGGTGAACAGCTGGGTGTACTGAATAGGAACACAATGCAAAAATAAGATACACAGAGAAACGGACGAAAGGAACTTCATGAGAGTGGAGATGATAAATATATGATAAATATATGGAAAGATGCACCTTCATCGTGGAAATGTGAATTAAACAATGCAACACCACTGCCCGCCCATCAGGCGGGGGAAAAGGTTTACACCTGACACTGCGAAGTGCTGGTGAGAATGTGGAGCACGATGCACCCTGGCGAGGGTGTGAACAGGAGCAGCCACTACCCAGAGCCGGCACGGCCCAGTGTCCACCACCAGCAGAACAGACGGGTGGTTTGTGATACACGATGAAACGTAACGAGCACTTACACAACAACATTTTACAGGCATCAAATATGTGAAATAAAAGAAATAACAAAAAGTATAATTCCATTGTTCTAAATTTCAAAATCATGCAAATCCAAACTGTCCATGGAGAGACATGGATACAAGCGCTAAAGCTGTTTTTTAAAGCGAGGGAAAGGACTTGCCTGGTGGTCCAGGGGCTGAGACTCCACGCTCCCAACACAAGGGGCCCAGGTTCAATCCCTGGCCCGCGAACTAGATCCCACATGCCACAGCTAGGACCCAGTGCAGCCAGATAAATAAATAAATTAAAATAAAAAAACATGAACTAACAAGCACTGCCCAGGATGTGGAGAAAAGGGTATGACTTCATGATGCTGGTGAGCATATAAGTTGGTGCAGCCACTGTGGAAAACAGTATGGAGGTTTCTCAAAAAATGACCCAGCAGTTCTACGTCAAGGTATTTATCCAAAGAAAACAAAGACACTTGAAAGATACCTGCACCCCCACGTTCACTGTAGCATTGTTTATAGTAGCTGAGACATGGAAACAACGGAATTATCCACTAATGGATGAATGCATAAAACAGGTAAGGTGTGTGTGTGTGTGTGTGTGTGTGTGTGTGTGTGAAACGGAATACTACTCAGCCATAAAAAACAATGAAATCCTTCATGTCGATGTACGGCAGAAACCAACACAACACTAGATCAGTATCCTCCAATTAAAAGTTAACAAAAGCAAAAAATTTCTGCTTTTGTTCACATCAACAGGCCTGTTACTATAAGCAACTTTAGTGTGTATTTATAACCAGTAATGCTTATAGTAAACATGTTCTACTTGTCTTAACCTAAAAAATAAGAACAAAATCTTGCCACTTGTAGACACCATGTTTGGACCTTGACAGTATGCTCAGTGAAATGGGTCAGAGAGAGGAAGACAAATACTGTATGGGCTCACTTAGATGTGAAAACTGGAAACACAAACCAAGCTCACACAGAGAGGAGACTGCTGGTTGTCAGAGGCCGAGAGGCACGGCAGAGGGAGGGAGCTGAGAGGTGGGTGAAATAAAAGGTGCAAACTGCTGGTTATAAAGTAACCAAGTCCCTGGGAGGTAACGCACAGCCCCTACAGTTAACAATACTATCCTGCGTATCTGAAAGCTGCTAAGAAAGTAAACCTTCAGTTCTCATTGTAGGGAAGAAAGGATTCTGTAACTATTTACGAGGACAGATGTTGACTAGACTTCCTGTGATCAGTTCACAGCACATACAAACATGGAATCGTGTTCACACCCGTAACTAATAACAGCTCAGTTTGAAAAATGGGTCTCAGCACAGCGTCACCTAGGAGATGAAAGCCGTGGTCAGAGACCCATGAAAGCTGGCCCGTCTTTTCTCAACCAGCGATGCTTTGACACAAACTCCTCCTGAGGATGAGAAACTAACTCCGTTGCAGATAAAGTACCAGTTTATCGCTTGTAAGTGAAGGAAAAGTACCTGAGCAGCCCCCTGGGTGGGGAGAAGGCGTAGCACCTGACCTGCGGGTACGGGCTCTTGAGCATGAGGGCCAGCAGCGCCGCGGCGCCCGCACCCAGGCTGTGCCCGACGACGACCAGCTGGTACTCCTGGGGGCGAGAGCAGAGTGGGTGACGGCCGAGAGAGCAGACGGCTGACGCCAGAGGAAGCGAAAACACAAGAACTAGAATCTCACCGGTGCGATGCTGAACGCTTGGCTCAGAATCCCGTCGTTGACGAGTCGGCGGTAGACGTATCTGGCGGCCTGAGAAATGCCCTGCAGGTGCAGACACAGGGAGCTGTTGGTTGTCGGGCGCGGCAGGACCGCACGGGCCCCCCTCTGTGACTCGGTCCCCCTGGACAGGACGGTCACCCTGGGACCAGCGGCCTCATTGACTGCGCACTGCTGTGTTCCTGGCAGTTGGTGCGGAGCCCAGCGCAAAGCAGGGGCTCGAGGTATTTCCATCAACCAAGAGGAGACCTCAGGAACAGCTTTCCGAGTCGGTGGATGTCTCTATGGCTTTTCCTGGAGCCGCACAGCATTTTGCTGTATGGACGTCCCACAATTTACTTTCGCCAAGTTCCCAGGGTTGGTCAGGTTTAGATTATAAACGACTGATCTTTTAAGATGATGTTAAAACAAAATTCTGAAATCACAGACAGTGACGAAGCAGCCACCGTTCCGGCAAAAGCCACACTGAAACCATCGGAAGGGAGTTCTAGGAAGGTCAGTCTTTCATTTCCAAAAATAAAGCACAACTTCCTACCAAAACCAGCTGTCCACCAAACAGACTTCTTGAAAATTGAGTAGTTCCAATTGAGGAGGGACAACCTTGTAAACCAGAATAGTTTTCGGGACGCTTCCTACGTGACAGCACAGGACGGGCCTGTCCTCCAGCCCTGGCAGCCTGATCCCCAAGAGGATGAGCGGGGGAGATTCCACCCGAGATGGGACTCTTCTGCTGGTGCCTCAAGCTACTGCACATTCCCGAGTCTGTGACTCTATAGCCCTGTGAGCACAACACAGACTCCAGAATCACCTGTGAGAAGCCAGGAGGTCTGGGCCACCGGCCAGATCTCCCTTTACTCCCCCGCCTACCACGCGGTGCAACAGACTTCCGCCGGCTAGGCACCCACCAGCTGTCTGCCCTGGGTAGCCAGAGGCATGTGGCATCCGGACCACAACTTGGCTGGCGGCAGGTCTCCCTGGCACAGGCGTTACAGGTGACACGCCAAGAGGGTGTTCTGCCACACAGCCTGGACAGTGTCAGAGCCAGAACTCCTGCCCAGGCCAAGAGCAGGGAGCAGCTCTCACCCTCAGCCCCTGAGAAGCTGTCCTCCCAGCTGGAGGGCAGGAGCTGTCGCTGGATGAAAAGCTGCAGGCGGCGGCCTCGGCTGAGAGCCAGTCAGGCCTGCAGTGTCGCAGCACAAAACCTGGGTCTGCGGCTCAAACTCTTTAAGAACAGAGCCAAGACACCAAGCCCGCTAGCCTCTGAGGGTAGCTGGCTAGTTGATAGGTCTCTATAATAAATCTTAAGTTTCTTACTTTCCTTCACGCGCATCTAGTAATAATTAAACTGGACTTTCTTGTGAAATTCAGGCCCAAAAAGACAACTAAGGATTAAAGGAAAAGATTCACATTCCCAGGACTGGCAAGCTCCTAACTGGTGGCAGAACGAAATCCAAAAGCTTCCTCCGCCCTGGGTCTTCCCTGGAGTGTCCAGGCACACACACAAAAAGAAACCGCAAAACAACAGTAAGAACAACAACAGAAAACCCTGGAAGGAAAAAAGCTGTCCAGACAGGACACTGGGGTTCAACTACCAGTAGCCGCACTCTGGCAATAACATATACTTTTATAAAAATTAAGCATTCTATTTAAAAAATGACTACTACAGGAGCAATACATTTTGGTTAAAAATCACCATGAATGTAGAACAGCACAAGCCCAGCGCCCTCCACCCCGATTCCTCAGGGGTGGCCGTTAGGGAACCATTCTGGACGTCCCTCCATGTGCAGCCTCGTCAGTCATCAGGAGAAAGCAAAGCGAAACCGCAGTGACACCACCTCACCCCCCACGAGGGTGGCTCCGTCAGAAAAGTCTCAGTGAGGATGTGGGGAAATGGGAGCCCACATAGTTTGCTGGCGGGGATGTGACATGGTGCAGCTGTGCTGGACGACAGCGTGGGCGTTCCTCAAAACCTTCCACGGAGAAACAGCAGGAGACCCAGCCACCCGGCTTCCGGGTAGATGCCCCGGAACTGAGGGCAGGGACTCAGGCCATTATCTGCACACCGTGTTCACCGCCGTGTTCCTCACGGCAGCCAGAGGGAATTCCGACACGCTGCCGCCTGAGTGAAGCTTGAGGACTCTATGCTCAGTGCAGTAAGACGGTCACGGAAGGACAGATATGATTCCATTTACGTGAGGAACGTAAAGCAAGCAAATTCGCAGACAGTAAAATGGGGGTTCCCAGGGGCTGGCGGCTCCTACGCCCCACCCCGCTTCCCCCTCATAGAGCACTGTCACAGTGAAACAGGAACTTGGTATTGTGACATCGCAAACTGGAAGGACCTGCAGGACGTGCTGAGTGTGTGAGGCGGTCTTCCTTTCAGGGGGGGCTGTGGGGGGGTCTTCCTTTCAGGGGGGGCTGTGGGGGGGGTCTTCCTTTCAGGAGGGGCTGTGGGGGGGTCTTCCTTTCAGGAGGGGCTGTGGGGGGGTCTTCCTTTCAGGAGGGGCTGTGAGGGGGTCCTGCCTCTCAGGAGGGGCTGTGGGGGGGTCTTCCTTTCAGGAGGGGCTGTGGGGAGGGGTCTGCCTGCACTGGCGCTTTCTTCACCGTGAGAAAGGACTGCCTTAGTTACAGGAAGAGAAGCACTGAGATGTCCACTGACACTTGTTCCAGTAAGCGTGTGGCTGCTGGCAAGTTACTCAGTCACTGTGAACCTGCTTCTTTCTCTTAAAAATCAAAAGGAACCCCCGAGGGCTTTGGGGGGGTCGTGCCGGACGGCACTGGGCAGCAGCAGCCTTTGCCACACAGAGGCGTTCAGAGAGACCTGGAGGGGAAGCCGCCCCGACCCCTGGGAGCCCTGATGGAACGTTCCGGCCTCACGCCCCGCCTCACCTTGTGTGCCCAGCAGTCCTGCACCTCACACTCCAGGTTGAGGGGCTCGCTCTCTGCGGACAGGTCTGTGAGGATGTCCTGAAAGAGCGTGTGGGGGGAGGCTGTTGGCGCGGTGAAGCGGGGGCAAGTGCCAGGACACGCCCGAGGGACCCACGGGCGGTCGAGCCTGGACACTGGAGCGGGGACACGGTCGGGCCCGCGGGCGCCCAGAGAGGGGAGACTTTCGACTGCATGACTTCACTTAGGATTCTTTCCAGCTTTGGGTGCAGAAGAAAGGGGAGGGTCACCTGGGTTAGGGGCCTGGGGAGTCAAGCGGGTACTCCCCCGGGAGCTGCGGGCCCCGCCTGCCGGTGTTACCTCTCCAGCGTTTCTCGGTGAGAAGGAAAAGGCTTCATCTGCTTTTCCAAAGGGCCCACCTCACACCCTGGGCCCACCTCCCTGGGGCGGGCGCTGTCACGGAGGCCTCCCATCTGATCCCGGGAAGCTGGGTCTCCCGGCTCTGGGCCGAGCACCCCCCTTGCTCCGCAGCGGGCAGGCGGGCCCCGTACCTGCAGAGACATGGTTCCTCTGACGGCCACCACCACCGACTCCTTCCTGTGGTCCAGGGCCACCAAGAAGGGGAGCTCATACACCTTGGCGCAGAGAGGACGGGCGTCAGCACAGGCGCCCTCGTGCGCGCGGGCTGGGGAGACACCCGCAGGAGGTCAGCACTGCGGACACCAGGGGACAGTGCCTGTGCCTGGGGAGCGGGCATGCGTCGCAGCCAGCACAGTCTCACCTCCCCGGATCCCCCGGAGAGGGACTCTACATGTTGGCGGTGTGGGGGCGTCTTGAAAGAGCCCCCAGAGAAGACATGAGCCTTCTGCGGAAAATTGCCTTCTTTAAGCCCATCGGCTCTGTCACTGGTGATCACGGAGCGGCAGTCATCACTGGGGGCTCCGGGCGCCTGCACCAAGCAGGACAGTAGCCTCACGGGGGACGTGAGAACACGCCCCCGGGCACTCTCATCTCAGTGGCATGGTGTGAGGTGTTCTCACACCCCAGGTGAGTCTCCAGTGCTGGTGTGTGGGAGCCCACGGGCTCAAGCGCAGTACACGGGGTCCCCCAAACTGTGCGCTGCAATTGTGGGGGCTCCTCCTGAGCCAGGCTCCCACAGCATGGCTGTGGCCTAGGCTCCAGAGATGGGAAAGCTCTCCAGGAGATTCTCCTGAACGGCAGGCATGAGCTGCTGTGCTCCCCGAGGTTCTGGGCTCCCTGCGCTGCTACGGACCACCCAGGGGGCCATGAAGCTGCACAGGACAGCCCTGGCACCAGGCAGACCGGCTGCTATGGGTTCACCAACCTGCCCGGCGACTCCGAGACCCTCCCAAGTGGGAGGCCCGCTGTCCGGCATGAACAGCACAGAGCCAGACCTAGAGCCGTGAGTGACTAGCTCCCGGCACCTATGTGGGGCACCTGCCAAGTGCAGCTCACAGTTCATCAGAAGCTGTCTGCCCCATCTCACGCTGACCCTGGGTGGGCGTTGCGGGCGCCCAGGAACCCGCCAAAGCAGCATGCAGAATTTGGGGGTGAGCGTGTGTCCGTGACTCTGCACATTTTCCCAGGGGACTCATGTGTGACCTCCCCCAGAACCTCACAGAACCCAGGGGAAGGTGCAGCCCACTCTACCTTGTCGTGGAAGCTGACGTGGATGAAGTCCCGGTGCTGCAGCCCCGTCGTCTGCAGGATGGAGCTGAAGTGGCAGTTGAGCTGATCGCCTCCGACCAGGTCGTAGTCAGTGGTCCTGCTTCTGCAGCTGGAATGGGGCAGAGGTGTCGCGGGTGTGCCCGGGAGACCCAGCCTGCCTGCCCATCCCCCAGCAATAGCGAGGATTCCACAGACAGTATTCACGTTCCGTCTGGCTAACCTCTAATGGCTTTTTGAAGACATTTATTCATTTATTTGGCTGCACTGGGCCTTAGCTGTGTCATGAGGGATCTTTCGCTGGGGCATAGCGACTCTCTAGTTGTGGTGCCAGGGCCTGGTTGCTCCACAGCACGAGGGATCTAGTTTCCTGACCAGGGATTGAACTTGTGTCCCACGCATCTCAAGGCAGATTCTCAACCCCTGGACCAGCAGGGAAGTCCTTCTAACGGCCTTCAAATGATACTTCTTGTGTACGCTTCTTAGTAGAGTCTGGAACCACAGTAATACTTCCCATGTTCAAAAAATAAAGCAACAAGGATGGGAAGAGACCCTAACCTCACCAAGAATGGACAATCCGGCATCATTGCCTGATACGAGGTTCTGAGAAGGATACATGCTCCACATGGAGCATTCCTGCCAAAAAAGTGTAACCTGAACCATTCAAGAAGAAACCAAGAGACAAAGGCAGAGTGAACACAGTCTTGTGAGGTACGAGCCTGTCCTTTTCAGAACGTCAGGATCATGAAAGATATAAACAAATGCCTGAGGAGCTGTTCCAAACTGGAGGAGACTAAGGAGGCATGACAACTAAGTGCAACACGATCTTGGATCGAAAGAAAATGTGGTACAGAGGGTGTTACTGGGACAATTAGAAAAACTGCAATAGCAGATGATAAATTTCCTGAATTTTACACTTGTCCTGTAATTTATGTCAAAGAGAGACCTTGTTCTTAAGAAATACAAGCTGAAGTAATGGTGGGGGGGGCATGAGGTCCAGAACTCAGTCTCTGATGGTTTTTTCCTGGGGGGGAGGTGGGGGCGCATATATTTATGGAGAGACAGTGACATAGCACCCGGGACAAGAGTGAGCTGCAACTGGTGGCTCCAGATATAGGATGCGGGAGTTATCAGTACTGCGCTTCCAGTTCTGAAATATTTCACAATAGGAAGAAGGTTTTAGAAAAGGGGAATGTGGTTATCTTTAGAAAATAAAGTCTGGACACCGCAACAAGCGACCTCGGCAGGGAGGATGGAGGTCTCGGACGACCTACCAGTCCCCGCCGACCCGGCAGAGCCCCGTGAAGGGGTTCCTGTAGATGTAGAGAGGCCACCCGTAGGCGGCGGCTGCAAACTGCATGTAGTGCTGGCAGTTCCCCAACTCTGCATCCAGATCGGCCTCCTGTGGGGCAGAAAAACAGCTTCCTGTTAGGGGATCAACACACTGTCGTCTTCGGTTCTCATCTTACGTCGGAGTGGAGCTGGGTTACACTGTTGTGTTGGTCTCAGGCATGCGGCAAGGTGATTCAGCTACACGGGCACAGGCTCCTCCTCCTTCAGGCTCCTCCCCGACACAGGATGTCGCAGGACACGGAGGGCCGCCCCCGGTGCTACACGGGGGGCCGTGCCGACCATCCATGTGATCTCTGGTAGGGCATGCTATCATCTTAGATCTGAACTCAAATTCCTGACTCTTCCCTTTCTTTCTTCAGGGAATAGACCTCCTGGAGGACTTCTATTGGAAAAGCTGATCCTGAATACAGACAGACAGAACCCCCTCATTTTTTTGGCTGTGCTATGTGGTATGTGGGATTCTAGTTCCCTGACTAGGATCGAACCCACGGCCCCTGCTGTGGGAGCAGAGGGTTTTAACTGCTGGACCGCCAGGGGAAGTCCAGACCCCTCATTTAGAAGAATGCACAAGTTAGCAGCAAAAATCCCTAGTGACCTTGCAACGCTGGTGAAATAAGCCTGTGACTTCCTGCTGGATGCACGTGCAGACACCACGCGTAGCAATAGGGGCTGCTGGGAACCAGGGGCTTGAATGAGCAGTGAGACAGACAAATGATCCTTGGGCAATTTTCTCTTTCAAAAGCATAGAAATCTGTGGCAGGAAAGCAACCATCAAACAAAGCTGAACTGCTCTCCAGGCTCAGAGAAAAGAGTGCATGCACTCTGGGAGAACCTGGTCCCATCCCAGAAGGAAGTTTTGATGTGCAGACAACAGGCAATTTCCTAAAAGAGAATGTTTGGGGGGAAAAGAAACAAATGACAGGTGGTAAACTGGCCAGGAGTCGGCTCCCCCTACCTGAAGGCCAGTGGATGCGGAGGGGCCTCGCAACTGGCACCAAACCACAACTGGCAAATCAACACATCAAGATGCCAATCAACTGTTCCTGAAACTTTTTAAAAAATTTACAAATAGGTATAAAAGTCAAAAGGGCGCAACCCAACAGAAATGCGGGCTTACCTGGAAGGGCCCGGGGGAGTGGGTGACGACCTCGGTGGGCTCCGGTGAGCTCTGGGCATGGTCCTGCTGCTGATGGAGGAGGGCAAGGCCGGCCGCGATGTCGCTGGGCACCAGGTCCGTGTCCTGGATGGGGAACCACTGTAGCTCACCACCCGCCCGGCAGCAACGGCCACGAGTCCCCGAGAGCCCAGCTTACGCGACTCGTGTGCACACACACAGACACACACAAGTGAATGGGTGTTTTTGAAACTACGTCCCTTTCAGGATGCCTGCCTCATGTTTCTTACTCTCCTGCCCTCAGACTAAACCCACTCAAGAACATAATATTATTGATTCCTACTCAGATTTCACTTAAGTGACAGCTGTTTTTAACCTACAACACATGCCCATAAAGCGGGCAAATGTGCCCTGTTTGTAGTAACATACGATGCTGGTCCCGTTTACACCCTGGCTGCTCAAGATGCTGGGAAGTTCTTGTTGAGAGGGCCCATGGCAGAGGCTGACGAGCCGGGGCTCTCACTCGCCGGGCAGGGCCAGCCTAAAAAGACCCCAGACTGGGAAGGCCCAGAGTCAGTCTGCAGAGCCTGATCTGAGCCTCTCCTCCAGGCGGTGACAGGGAGCCCCCCACCTGCTCCCCTTCACCCCCAGAGGACTTGCCCTCGGGAGCTACGTTCTGTCAACAGGGAGACGGGCTCGGAACGCGGAGAACTCATCTGCCCCAAAGAAGCGTTCACGTAACAGGAGGAGAAGACCAGAGCAGACCCCGGTGGCTTACTGAAAAGTAGGTTGAGAAAAGTTCTGCCGTACTCGAAAAGGCGACGCGAGTGTGGTCGTCCCGGCCGACACAGCAGCAGAGCAGCCTGACTCGCGTCTCCCACACGCCGGTCGCTGCCGTCCTGAGGCCGCTCAGCAGCTGGCTGGACTCACGGCTGTCCAGGGGCTGGGGGCCCAGGGGGGTGCCCGGGGCCGCCCTGCCCCCCAGCGGGTCGAAGACGATGAGGATGGTGAGCACGGTGGAGGCGATGATGAGCCAGCTGCAGGGCGGTGGGGGGCGGGCTGAGGCCCGGGTCCTGCAGCCCCTCAGCCATGCGGGGCCGGGGTGCCCTCCCGGGGGCCTCCTGCTGTCTTGGGGAAGCTGGGGCTCCAACTACCGAGGAAGATGGGGAGCTGGCTGGGGCGGGCAACTCGGTTCCTCGAGAAAGTTCCTTATGAGCCCACAGCCAACCAAGACCTGGTGACGAATGGAGCCCCCAGAGCCACAAAAGGAAAAGGGGGCTGCGTGGTGGAGAGAGCCACGGCCGGGCCCAGAAGCCCCTGCCCTTGACCGGGGTTTACCCCCCAGGGCCCTGGGGCTCCACTCCGCAAAACCAGAGGAAGCTTCCTGCGCTCGGGCCATGCTCCAACGGCTTTCATCCACACACTGCACCCAGTCGCTTCAATTGTGTCGAACTCTTTGGGACCCCATGGATGGCAGCCCACCAGGCTCCTCTGTCCACGGGATTCTCCAGGCAAGAATACTGGAGTGGGTTGCCATTTCCTCCTCCAGGGGATCTTCCCGATCCAGGGATCGAACCGGTGTCTCCTGAGTCTCCTACATAGGCGGGCAGATTCTTTACCACTAGCGCCACTTGGGAAGCCCTTTCATCCATACGTTTCAATACTTCCAGGCTGCCCAGATGCACAGGGCGCGGTGGGTGCCTGAGCATGTATGCTCCAGCAAGGTGACCCGGGAAGGGCCGCCACGGCTTCAGCTGCAAGACTCGGCAGTGCAGCGGGAGACCACCCCCCAACCCCGATTCACAGCCCACAGGGCAGGACTAGCTCATCTCTACAGTATTTAGCTGGAAAAGGCAAATGCCTCACTCCAGCGGATTGTGCCCTGCAGCAGATCCGCACTGTGCTCTTCTCATCCCACTTGTAGTTTCCGCCCTGCTTTGGTCTCTGGGCTTCTTCCCTCTTGTGAGGGGCCAGAGGGCATGAAAAAAAACAGCAGCTGGTAAGGAAGGGAAGTACAGCCGAAGTGCGTGCTGGGCCACGAACCGTTCCTCGCACGCATCTAACTACTTCAGGGAGCCTGCACGCCAGCAGGCCACCTGCAGGGACCCCACCTGGAGAGCACCTCAGACGAGAGCCCGCAGGAGGAGACAGGACCTCACCTGACCACAACGGTTGCGATGATGCCGTTGCCCACAGTCCGGTCACACTGAACGCCGTCCGCGATCCAGGCGGCCCCCAGGGACGCCCAGACCATCTCTGGCAGGAAGAGCGCCAGGCGCACGTAGAGCAGCTTGGACATGGACTTCCGCGGTCCCGGATTACAGATGGTCCCTGCAACAGAGCAGGTCCACGCTGGACGATGGCCTCCGCTGGGGTGAGGCAGCTCCTTTCGGCAGAAACACGGCGGCCGCAGCACAGATCTGGGCTGGCTGCTCCCCGCCAGTCGCGTTTCTACCTGTAACCGGGAACCACTGCCCACCTCTCAGAGTGAGAGGCAAAGCGAGGGATGGGAAGAGGCGTGACAAAAGACAGAATTATTTCTTATGCTCATCGGGGCTTAAAAACACTTCTGGGGGGACTTCCCTGGTGTCCAGTGGTTAAGAATCCTCCTTCCAATACCGGGGACACAGGTTCGATCCCTGGTCAGGGAACTAAGATCCCACATGCCCAGCAGCAAGTAAGCCTACACGCTGCAAGAAAAGAGCCTGCTTTCAGCAACCAAGACCCAACGCAGCCAAAAGTAAATATAAAAAAAAAATTCATTTCTGGGTTTTCTAACTACACTGACAAGAAAATCATTATCCATATTGGGATATTTCTGAGAGCAAAAGGAAGCTCTATTAATAATTATGCCAGGACAGTCAACATAAAACAGAGCTGTCACAGGCAAGCAGGGGCAAGCGGTCAGCCAGGTTCTCACGGCCGGGAAAGTCCGGGACCACCCGTCACACTGCCCGCCTGAAACGCCTCCACCCTCAGGACGACTGGGACACAGTTGCCGCCCCACTTCACAGATGAGGAGGCTGAGGCCCACAGGGCTCAGTAAGCACTTTCTCGACCCAGGTCTGCACGACCCAGGCGCTCTGCCTCACCCTGCGGGCATCACTCTTGGGAAGCCAACAAGTGTGACCTGGAGACTACCTGCGGACGCCCACCACCGAGACAGAACATTTAAAACTGCGTTTGTAAGACAAACCCAAGGATCATTAATTCTTGATGTAAAACATCAACTCTCCCCCTTCAGAAGTTGTGATAAACACCAATTTTCAACACCAAAACCACCACACGATTCAAACAAAAGCAGTAACTGAAAAAAAAAAAAAAACCCTAAGATTTGAAAAATAATTTGATAAGAAAACAGCTTTTAAATTCCCAAAGCTACCTTCCACTACAACGACTTACTGAGGGTCACATTTTAGAACACAGACACCATCAGGCCTCGCGGAGGGCACAAAGGCAGGAAGTCCCGAGATAACTGACACGGCTGCCTCTCTCCCTGAGGGGCAATGTGCGCAGGTCTGCAGAAATCCGCCCCATCTCTGGAGACAATCATCATGCAACAGCAGCCAACCGTCAGAGAGAAACGGGAAGGAGGATCTGCTCACAGCCCGCCCCGGAGGCTGAGGATCCCGAGGAAGGGGCTGCTCTGACGCTGCGCGCCGGGACCCAGGACCCCAGCCCCTGGCACCGCTGGACTGGGTGGAGACGGAGGCGAGGAAGCAGGAGACGCGCGTTCCGGCGAAGGGTCCAGAAAAGACAGGAGACGCCGAAAAAGCCTTTTTTATGTGCATGCTTGCCTAGCAAAACATCTCGCTTTTAGGTCAACCTTTATTTTCCCCTCGGGGCTTCCCCTCGGGGCAGTCAGCCACTGGCCGGATCTGGTGCTGCAGTGGGCATCATGAAGCCAATGCCCAGAATGGATGGTGTGACCGCGTCCCCGAACACGATGGCCTCGATGTAGTCTTGGGCGGTAACCCCGCTGCCCCTCCCGAGGCAGGGCCACGGACGCGCGAGCCGAAGAGGGCAGGCCTGGGTCACAGAGTCTGGGCACTCAGCACCTCAGCCTCGGCAGTGTCTCCCACTGCCTGGGAGGAGCTGGGGACAGAGGGCAAGGAGAGCAAGACTTCCTCGAACCCAAGCCAGACGCGGCCAAGGGCAGACCTTGGCCTTCAAGGCCTTCTGACAAAACGTATTCGTGAGGATGGTGGTTGTTTAGTCGCTAAGTCATGTCCAACTTTTTTGCGACCCCATGGACTATAGCCACCAGGCTCCTCTGTCCGTGGGATTCTCCACGCAAGGATACTGGTGGGTTGTTATTTCCTTCTCCAGCGGATCTTCCCGACCCAGGTATTGAACCTGTGGCTCCTGCACTGGCAGCTGGCTTCCTTATCACTGAGCCACCTGGGGAGCTCACGAGGGTGGATCTTCCCTAATTAAACATCCCACATGGCTGAAACAAGAGGGTTTCATCAGGGAGCTTTTCAAATCAAAAATAGAAACCTTATAGTTTCTACTAAGGTAATGAGCTGAAATTACACCCCTATGTTGCTAAAAGAAATTCTGACTTCATCCAGATGGCTCACCTAACTGAAAGCCTTCCGTCATCATCTCTGCTGGCGGGATGTTATCTGACTTTAGTCATCCCATTTGCCTTTTCTTCCTCTTAACTTTATGGTACCTTCTTCACTGAAATTTATGTAACACTGAAGATAAAGTACACAATGTTATTTATTGGCAATTAAACTAACGTGTTTTTATAAAATCCTGTCTTTGGTTCAGCTGTGGTATCTTTATCTACAAGCATCAGAAACTCGAACTCAGGCTGGTTTAAAAACCAGCAGGACCTGTCCTGACTCAGAGGACTGGAAACGCAGGGCAGGGCTGGCATGGGCGCCCAGCCGTGCCCTCCTGGCCCCGAGGGGAGACGGCGGCACATTCCTGCAGCGTCTCCACAAGGACCACAACACACTGCTTCTAGATCTTTCCCAGGCGAACAGGGGTGGACATCCTAGAACTTCCCAGGGAACTCCCCGAATTTCACTGGCCTGAACCAGGTCACACGTCCAGTCCTGAACCAACCACCAAGCCCCAAGGATCATTCCAGCGTGGGGCAGAGGGTGGGTGTCAGACACTGTGAGGAGGCGGGGGTGGTCCTGAATAAAACTGGTTCTGTTTGGAGGAGGCTGCCGGCTGGAAAAGCGATCCACCTGTGACACCCCACACCCAGCAGATGCTTGCCAAGCCCTGATGGGTGAGCTGGGCCCAGTTTGGCATCGTGTGGGTGTCTTCGCGGAGGAGGCCGGGGCACATGGTCATCCATCCCTCATGTGGTGTGAATGTGCCTTGACCAGCAAAGATCTCTGAAGGAAAACGTTTAAGGGGGAAAAAAAGCATATCCCTAACCCACTGTGGGGCTTCCCTTGTGGCTCAGCTGGTAAAGAAAGAATTTGCCTGCAATGCGGGAGACCTGGGTTCGATCCCTGGGTTGGGAAGATCCCCTGGAGGAGAGAGAGGCCACCCACTCCAGTATTCTAGCCTGGAGAATTCCATGGACTATACAGTCCACAGGGTGACAGAGTCGGACAGGACTGAGAAACCTTCACTTTCACTAACCCACCGTTACAGTCAGAAACCCGGCGGACTAAACAGACTGATGCGGACGGACAGGATGACACAACCTGCATGTTCCATCTTTCAGAAAATCCGACCTCACTCAGAACCTTAAAGCAGGGAAGCCACGTCGCACACATCCTAGCCCTGCCTCTGATTGATGAGCTCTTATTTACTGATGCATTTCTTTAGCAGCCAGCAGAGTGCTCGGCTCATCCAGCACACCACAGTAAGCGACAGGGAGGCTTTCCAACCTTTTCAGGCATTCTCAGCTAAGTGACTGTCTGCAGAAAACGGTAACAGATAGAAGAAGTTATTAAGAGATCTAACTTTTGGGACTTCCCTGGTGGCCCAGGGGTAAAGAATCCACAGGCCAGTGCAGGAAGCACAGGTTCTATCCCGAGTCTGGGAAGACCCCTCATGCCACAGAGCAGTAAACCCACACCCCAGGACCACTGTGCCTGAGCTCTAGGGCCCAGGAATCGCAACGGCTGAGTCCACGTGCTGCAACTACTGAAGCCCGCAAGCCCTAGAGCCCGGCAGCGAGAGAAGCCCCCGCGATGAACAGCCCGAGCAGCTCCAGAGTCGCGGCGACGCGAGAAAAGCCCTCACAGCAGCCACAAAAAATAAACCATCACACACAAAAGAGAGCAGAGATGTAACTCCACAGCTCGTTAATAAAAGGACAAAGAACCCAATTTAAAGTTGGGCAAAGGATCTGAACAGACGTTTCTCCAAAAATGATACGCAAACAGCTACTGAGCATATGAAAAGAGGCTCGGTATCATTAGTCATCAAGGAAAAGGAACTCCAAACCACAGCGAGGTACCACTTCACATCTACTAGGACGGCTGTCCTCAAACGGTCAGATAATAAGTGCTGAGGAAGAGGAGGAGAAACGAAGCCTCAGGAGGTGCTGGTGGGAAAGAAAAACAGTGCAGCTGCTTAGAAAACAGGCTGGCGGCTCCTCAGAAAGTTAAACAGAGTTACCATATGATCTAGCAGTACCACCCTTAGGTACACATCCAAGAGAAATAAAACATAATGGGTATGTGAAGACGAGATAGGACTGTTCAAAGCAGCATTATTTGTAACAACCAAATGTCCACCAACTGACAAATGGTTAGGTAAAATGCGGTATATCCGTTCCACGCACTATCGTTCAGCCATGGAAAGGAGTGAAGGGGACTTTCTGGCGGCCCAGTGGCTAAGACTCTGTGCTCCCACTGCAGGGGGCTCCGGGTTCCATCCCTGGTCAGGGAACTAGATCCCACATGGGACAACTAAGAATCTTAGAGTGCCACAACTAAGACCCAGCACAGCCAAATTAAACAAATATTTTAAAAAAGAAAGTGAAAGTCACTCAGTCGTTGCTGATTCTTTGCGACTCCATGGACTGTAGAGTCCCTGGAATTCTCCAGGCTAGAATACTGGAGTGGGTAGCCTTTCCCTTCTCCAGGGGATCTTCCCAACCCGGGGATGGAACCCAGGTCCTCCCACATTGCAGGCGGACTCTTTACCAGCTGAGCCACCAGGGAAGGCTCTGCTCTAAAAAACACAAAGGAAAAAAGGCGTCCAGTAGAAAAGCCTCGCCTTACCTCTCATGCTGACACACACGATGGCCGACACGGTGCCTATGATGACGGCCAGGAGCACCAGGAGCACGATCAGGTAGCTGCTGAGCAGGGCGCCCCCTGGGCAGCCCAGCTTCCCTCTGTGCATGAGGTACAGCATCAGGATGCCAACCCACCTGTCGAGACACGGGCAGGCTCAGAAACGGAACCCAGGGAGCCGCTTTGCAAAACACGGCAGAGGAAAGTAAAAGGAGTTAGTATCTTCCCGAACAAGGTCAGGTTCACTTTGGAATCTTACTTGGTCAAGAATCTGCCTGCAATGCAGGAGACCGGGGTTCAATTTCTGGGTGCGAAAGATCCCCTGGAGAAGGAAGTGGCAACCCACTCCAGTGTTCTTGCCTGGAGAACTCCATGGACAGAGGAGCCTGGCAGCTACAGTCCATGGGGTCACAAAAGCCAGACACAACTGAGAGACTAAACCACCACCAATAAAAGATTTACTAAATCAACTAAAGAGCACAGCTCTTTTTCCTTTTTTTAAATGAATCTCATACTTTGCTGATGGCATTGTTTTTATTCTATGCCTGTTGTAATACATTTATTACTTTATTTATTTGGCCTTGCGAAAAAATTCTGGCATGCAGGATCTTTGCTCCCCAACCAGGGACTGAACCTGTGACCCTACAAGGGAAGCTTGAAGCCTTAACAGCTGGCTTACCAGCGAAGTTCCTGTAACACAGTTAAAGCCATAAGCAAGCAATTTCAATGCAAACTCCTGGGAAAGCTGAGCTAAAACAACAAAGTATATGATTGTTCAGTTATCAGCAGAATTTTTTTTACTTCTGTGTATTAACATGAAATTGACAAAAACACATCCTAACCTGCTGTGTGTAATACAAAAACAAGGGTCTGGGAAACAAGCTATGGAAAGATGCTTCATGGTGACCACGATCAATCTGAAAGGACCAGGACTGTGGACTCCTAGGTGTATTTTGCAATTCAGTTTAGAACAATGAAAGACAGCACCAAACAACACAAGATGACAGTGACTCACCACTAGAGTTATTTCAGAATCAGGAAGGGAGCATCACTGGGCAAATAACCCAGTTTTAAGGGGTTCAAAGCCAGAAGGGGAACTGGACTAGATAACTGTGTGCTTTTGTCAGTTTTGTAACACTATGACTTCTTGTCCAGAAATAAAACAGGAAATGATCTTGGTAAGATGGCTCTGAAAACTACAAAAGGACTAAGAAGCAGCTCATAATATTTCACGTTCTTACGTTTCTTTCCCCTAAAGGCTCGAAATACTATTTTTTTTTAAACGTATCGGTTTTTTTTGGCTGTGCTGGGTCTTCCTTGCTGTGCGTGGGTTTTCTCTAGTTGCAGCCAGCACGGGCTTCTCACTGCGATGGCTTCTCGAAGGCGGAGCACGGGGCTTTAGGGCGTACAGCCTTTAGTAGCTCAGCTTGTGAGTTCAAGAGTTGTGGTGCCTGGGCTTAGTTGCTCCGGGCATGTGCGATCTTCCACGACCAGGGACTGACCCGGTGTCCCCTGCATTACTCTTTGCTCAGACCCTTTGGGGACAGACTTCAGGCGCCCGATTCCACAGACTGGAGAGTAAGTGCCAGTCCCCCGCGGTCCTGGGATTCAGCCGCACCCGGCTCAGGAACCGCGCACGAAGGGTACTGTTGCCAACCTCGCGTCCTGCAAACACGGGATGCCGTGCGTTTCCGTGCAGAGCGCTGGAGAGCTGCAGTCGGCAGCGCCTGACTCAGGGGGAGAAGATCCCGCGGCCTAGGCCTCGGCGGCCAGCGCGCCCCGGTGGCTCCAGGCTGGGCGCCCGAGCCCCACAGCCCCGGCGTCCGGGCGGCGGGCCCGCCCCGTGACCCTGGGCACGGCCCGCCCGTCTGTAAACGGGGACAGCGGAGGTACCCAGGTCCCCGGCCGACGGAAGGGGCTAGGGACGCGAGCGCGGGGCAGACGGCACCCTCCTCGTCCGCGGCCGGCCCGGGCCCGCTCCCTCCCGCTCCCCGGCCGCGCGCCCTCACCACAGCACTCGCACCAACAGCTCGAAGACCCCCGGGAAAACCAAGTCGTCGCTGGCGATGGCCCAGCGCCGGCCGAAGAGCACCATCCCCGGCATGGCGGACGGAGGCCCGGCAGCTCGCGGCGCCCGCAGCCGCCCGGCGCCCAGCACCCTTTCCTTTCCGCCGCCGCCCCGAGACTCCGCGCAGGCGCACGCGGGGGCCGGGCGCGGCGCATGCGCACTGAACCCCGCGCCGTCGCCGCTGGGCCTCTGCGCCTGCGCAGATGCGCGGCCCGGGACGCAGGTGCGCTTCATAGGTTCTTTGCACGTGTTAGGTCCCTTCTGTTTTCTTTTCGTAAGCAGTAAGCACGTCGCCAGCCCCGATGGCTTTGTCAGCCTAGAGACACCCAGCAGTTAGCGGCGGATCTGGGGTTCAGCTCATATACAAGGCTATGACGAAGTTGCCCGCCCCCAGCAAGGGCTGCTGCTCCTGCTAAGTCGCTTCAGTCGTGTCCGACTCTCTGCGACCCCATAGACGGCAGCCCACCAGGCTCCTCCGTCCCTGGGATTATCCAGGCAAGAATACTGGAGTGGGTTGCCATTTCCTTCTCCAACGCATGCATGCATGCTTAGTCACTTCAGTCGTGTCCGACTCTATGCTACCCTATGGACAACAGCCCACCAGGCTCCTCTGTCCACAGGATTCTCTAGGCAAGAATACTGGAGTGGGTTGCCATTTCCTTCTCCACCCCCCAAGGACAGGGTTTAGGAGTTCCACGTTAGGACCCTCCCTGGTTCAGAGCCTGAAGCCATTTGGCCGCTTGGTGCTGCTGGGGAGTGGGGAGTAGCCTGATCTGCCTGCCTTCCTTTCTCCGAGCTGGTCGTAGGTTCTGACCACTTCTCGGCCCCTCCGCTCCCCTCCACCCCAGTCCGAGCCCCCTTCATCACGTACCTGATCGGGTCTCCCCACTGCTTTCCCCAACTCTGGCCTGTTTCCCCTCCTCCTCTTCAGTGCATTGCCCTTACAGCAGCTGGAGTGACCTTGATGAACCGTCAGACCAGGCCCATCAGCTTAGAATTTTGCAAGCCTACACTTTGTGCATCCAACCAGTCCACCCTAAATGAAATCCGTCCTTAATATTCATTGGAAGGACTGATGCTGAAGCTGGATACTCTGTCCACCTGATGCAAAGAACTGACTAATTGGAAAAGACCCTGATGCTGGGGAAGATTGAAGGCGGGAGAAGGGGACGACAGAGGATGAGATGGTTGGATGGCATCACCGAGTCGATGGACATGAGTTTGAGTAAGCTCCCCGAGTTGGTGATGGACTGGGAGGCCTGGCGTGCTGCAATCCATGGGGTTGCAAAGAGTCGATACAACTGAGCGACTGAACACTTTGTGCATAAAATGGACTCCAACCTCTTGCAGTCTTTTCCCTGGGAGTCACACATTGCAAGTTTGCAAATGCGTGGTTGTCTCCCTGAGTTAGGGTTACTTTCTCCCTTCCTCACTCACCTTGCCTGCTGAGTTTTTTTCCCCCCTGAAATATACCAAGCTTACTCTCACCCCTGGGTTTTTACCATCTGTTTCCTCTGCCAGGAGCTGCTCCTCCTGCAGGCATTTCCCCGTCACTATTTCACTCCATTCTGGCCTCAGCTCTAACATGGCCTCTAGAGCTTTTCCTGAAAATGAAGTCAAGTAGATAGTGTATGCCTGAAGACTCACTTTTTAAGTGCCCAATGCCAAACTAGGTCAGAAATCTGCAGTATTATGTTCTAGTAGTATAAAAAATGACAATCCTTGTCATTGTTTGCAAGGACTAGTGCCATATTACAGGTTTCCCAGATGGCTGTTGTAAAGAATCTGCCTGCCAATGCAGGAGAGGTGGGTTCAATCCCTGAATTGGGACGATCCCTTGAAGAAGGGAATAGCTACCCACTCCAGTATTCTTGCCTGTGAAATCCCATGGACAGAGGACCCTGGCACACTACAGTTCATGAAGTCGCAGAGTCTGACGTGACTGAGCATGCACTCGGTGATGGTCTTGCAGTAAAAGTGCTATATTACACTGCAAGTTACTTTTAGGTTGAAAGGATAAAAGAGGGAACTGTTTCAGAACTGGAGGAGACCCTACCCCCACCTCAGCACCTGCATAAGACTCTTAAGACCACAAACTTCAAAAGATAACCCAGATCAGGTTTGGGGGGCCTGGGGGGCCGGCACAGTGATTACTGAGCAAAGTGCACGGTCCTTGGAATCTACCTTTGGCCACAAGAGGGCGAAGCACATAGCAGAAAGACACACACCGAGCCCCAATTCAGTCAGCCTTCACTCAGACCGGTGGTTTTGCAAGGTACTTAGGAGTCAGGGTCTGAAGATAATGCAGGCTAACAAGGGCAAAACTACCAATGCGATCAAATGCATCAGAGGAACTCCTGCTGAACTGGTTCCAGCCAGCTTTCAAGGAAGCTGTCCCAAGCTGAGCACAAAGGGAGGGGAGAGGGTCCCTGAGGTCCCCAGCACTTAATGTGCACCAGTCTCTGCGCTGTGAGCTTCAGGACAGGGTTCCTCAACACCTCACGTAAATCCTACAGTGGAGTCTCTGCTGGTAACAGAGTGGCAACACGCTCACATTAATTCCAAGGTCAGGGCTAGACTGTGAGGGGCCAAGACTCCACACATCTGACCCCAAAGCCTGTGCTTTTCCTAGCGTTCCCACAGATCACTAACGATTTCTGTTGAAACCGAATCTTTGCTCGACCATTACAGCAAACCATCTGACTTACTGGTATCTCGGCTAGATCTTCCCTAGCAAGGCTTTGTACCTGCAACTTTTTCTCTACCCGTTTCTCTCTTTGACAGGCTGTAAGGAAGCAGGAAACCTTGTTTTTTTGGCTGCACTGAACAGCTTGCAAGATCTTGGTTCCCCGAGCAGGGATTGAACCTGGGCTACTGCAGTGAGAATTCCCTAGGAAACCTTCAAACCCCATGACCGGACTAGACAGTGTTGGATTGGTGTCTGTAAGCAGCCAACACCCAGCATCTTTTCAGAGTTACTTAGTGAGCAAATCTGTTAATTTTGCTTTATCATTCTTCATGTTTAAAGAAAAAACACAAATTCACACAAATAAAACAGCTCGATAAAAAGTATGAATTACCTGATAACCTTTATTCAGGAAGTGAGAGTAATTCAGAAACAGTGCTTCGTGAGGTGCATCAGACAATTCCTTTGTTCCTAGCATGTGCGAGGATGCCGCCCTGGTCCCGCACGCCCCCCAAGGTACCTGTGAAGATGTCACCCCAGTGGACCACAAGATGGTGGCAGCATCACAGCCAGCTTTACTTTTCCTCGGGCAGATGCCTGATGGAGGCGTCGACACTTCATGCTTCCTCAAGTCCCAGATCCTTGCTCTATGCTTTGTGCTCACTGAAGAATGATCCCAGCTCATGTTTGATTTACATGCACAAAAACAGGAGACTCCCCCACCCCCCAGTTTGGGAACGCTGGGGTCTGCTCCACTTAGGCCAGGATTTCCCACCCTTCCTCCTTGCCATTAGAATCTTCCAAGAAGGATGAAAACAGAAACTAAACTAGAATGCCTGAAAGAAACTCTGATACACAAAAGCAAAGACATGAGGTGGGGGTGGGGGGGGTGAGAGTGATAAGGACAAGAGGTTAAACTATGCAGTTACACTACCTGTTTAGAAAGATGTTTGGAGACACTCTAGATAAAAGTAAAATCCATCCAGTTCCCTTCCTTCACAAGATATTTTAATGCAGTAAACAAGACCGATACATCCTTTTTGTTGTAAGCCCTGTTAGTATTCAACACTTTAACATTTATGGTGCATCACAAAAAAGCCCAAAATCATGTTTTTGCATAAGTAAAAAAAAAAAAAATGCAGCAAATCAATACAATGGCAAAATCAGGAGGAAAACTGCAATTAAAAAAAAAAAAAAGGTTTTAGATTAAGGGAAGAACAAATGTTTGCGGCCCTATATAGAGCTTCTGTTGCCAATTGAAAAACAAAGAATAAAACCCATCCTGACATGGGATGTTCCAAAACCCTAATTCAGAAAAAAAAGACAATTTATGCTAGGTTTAATAAAATGTTTATTTAGGATGGTAACAGAAGATAAATCATGCAAGAGCTCAATAAAAACAAAACAAAACAAAAAGAGTAAGAGGAATGGCAATTGGTGCTGCCAATTAAAAAAAAAAAAAGTAAATCATTCTGCTATCCAAAAGGGATATGAAAAACCACTTGAATCTGAGAACAGACATGGTTGTAGTAATCTTCTGGAATTGTAAATTAAAGTGATAGGTAACTACTTCTGTTCCATTCCACAGAGGAGTCCTAAGTCCAAACTAATCACAAATGTTTCTCGCACGTCACACTCAGATGGCAAGCAGCCCAGAGCCATCCCCCCCGCCCCCCCAGTGAGCTTTTTGACACTCTTGGGACAGTTTCAAACTGATACTTCTTAGTAGGGGAGGAGGGCAGGCACCTTTGGTGACTCTTAAACGAGACTCCATCTACATTCAGAATCTTCAAATTTTGGTAATGAAACCCTTCAGACTCGCAAGTCGTCCTTACCAGCCTCGTGTAGTGTTTGACATCCAGGGAAGGAGTTCCACATCAGTGGGAAGCAATTTGAACGGGTGTACCAAACTGGACATAGTGTCACAGATTTCAAACAAAGGTAACTCATCTTTTGGCAAAAAAACAAATAAATATAGTGGAATGCAAGTTTGATAGATGGAGGACTATATAATCTACTGACTGTCAAGGAGTACAATTTCATTGCAGACACAAAGAATCAACAATTTCAAAGAATTAAAAAAAACCCAAAACAGTTTGCACTTATTCCTCACAAAATCTTCACTTTTGGAACTACCCCCAATTGAAGCTACACACTGACTTTATTAATACAGCATTAAGTTTCTTTGTGTAAAAAAATCTTTGTACATAGTAATAAAAAAAGATAAGGCAAGATGCATTAAACAGAAACCTTCTGGTTCTTTCCCTCTGGGTTCTTACAGAGCCACTGATGACTATCTGCAACAGAAGAGTTGAGTTTCCAATTTTCCGTATCAAGCATCTTGAGCCTTTGCTGTGGTAAGAATTCTGTCCGAGCACCCTGAGGACAGATGCTGGTGGTGGTCTTTGGCACTTACGCGGGCAGACTGAGCTTCTTTCCCTTGAGAACTACAAGTTTAAAGACAGGGAGTGAAAACAAAAGGTTACTCATCCTGACAAGCTTCAGTTTCCTCCTTCCCATTCCTAGAAGTTTGTCATACAAGACACCACAGAGTAAGGTCCAAGGAAATGAACTTCTGACAAGCACCAGGGATTTGATTTGGGTGTCAATAAACAAAGTCCTCTGAAGTAAGACAATGTCATATACACAGACTGGAATCTTCTTAATGTATCTGGATGCCATAGCAACTGAATTTAAAAATACTAGTTCAACTGAAATTGTCTTTTAATTCATGGCAGCTTTTTGTCATCATGACTTAATCCCCTAATTACATATATTGACATATAACAGTTATGAAAATTTTAGATGTTAAAAAAAAAGTTAAGATACATATGCCCTTGTATCTAGCAATTCCACCATTAGAAATTTTACTGTATAGCCAGGATTCCCCAGCTGGGAGGCGGGAGAAGGGGGTGACACAGGATGAGATGGTTGGATGGCATCACCGACTCAATGGACATGAGTCTGAGTAAACTCTGGGAGTTGGTGATGGACAGGGAAGCCTGGCGTGCTGTAGTCCATGAGGTCGCAAAGAGTTGGACACGACTGAGTGACTGAAGTGAGCTGAGGATTCTTAGCCTGGGATCTGTGGTTGGGTTTCTGAACTCCCTAAAACTATAAGCGCACGTTTGTGTGAATACATGTAACTGCGCATTTTTCTCTGAGCAAGGACCATGGCTTTATCAGATTTTTGTCAAGTTCACATGTACTCTATTCATACCAAAAAAAAAAAAAATATATATATATATATATATACACACACACACACACACACACACACACAAGGACACTGAGTTAAACACTGGATTTTTAAGCCCAAACACCCATGAATAGGGGGCTGAATAAGTCAACTATGATAATAAACATAACAAAAGACTCCACTGCTATTAAAAATCATGCAGATATCCAGGAAAAAGAGCAAATTATAGAACAGCATGTTGAGTTTAAATCATGTATCATTAAACCATTACATTTACTGAAACTTAATAATGATTATTTTAGAGTAGTAGGATTCTGGGTGATTGTTTTCAGAATTATTAATTCTGACTGGTTTTACAATGAAAATGTGTCATTGTAGAAAAACAATAAAATTATAGCAAAAAAAAGAAAAAAAAAAGACTGAAAATCCTGACCAAGAATTCTACCTGACGGTCACAAGATGTGGTCTGAAGCCAGTTCGCCTTCTGAGCAAGTGTCAGATCAGAAGCACAATGGCCAGGGGAGCCCTGGAGGAGGGACGCGGGCAGGACACAGCCTGACGCACCTTTCGTGATGTACAAGTAGAAGAAGTCGCAGTACAGGATGGTCTGGACAACGCCGGCCACCACGGCGATGAGGTCAAAGAAGCCCTCGAAGTAGAAGCGCCAGATCCAGTTGACGAGGTACAAGGCGCGGTAGAGACCCAGGAAGAACAGGTAGTGGGTGGTGATGGTCTCCGCCTCCCCGGTCTTGCTGATCATGAAGAGCTGCGGCAGGATGGCCACCGACTCCAGGTAGATGGAGAAGGTCCACAAGATCTGAGAGAGAAATGGCAGCCCCATCAGCGCCCGGTGCCTGCCACCAGCTCAGAACAAACACTCCTGCTTCACTGTGAAGCAGCAGAAAGGGAGCAGAGTCTGGGCATCAGAGCCCAGGACAGAGCAGCTCTGCAATTTAATAAACCACAGATAAAGGCACAGACCCCCCAGGACAAGCGAGGTTCCCGGGCAACTCCAGCTCCTGGGACCTCCCTTCCCGATCTCGCCAGCGCTGCACTCTTCCCTGGGCACCTTCCTGACTCTTCAAACACGATGCTCCTCCACCAGCAGCTTCTCCCGCTCTGGATCTGGGGCCCTGAACCAACCCTGCCTCCTCCCAGGGCTGACAGGACTAAGCACTGGGTCCTTCCACTCCCTCACTGCTGTTTCTCCTTTCCAGGTGACATAAATCGTTTCACTATTTTTCTTACTCTTCAGGCTTTTTTTTGGCATGGTTAAATCAAAGGGCTAAGAAGTCAGAGTCATAATCACGCAAGCTCTCTCCCCAACCCAGCACTTCGCTCACACCTACGGAGGAAGGGCCTAGGAGGAGTTCCTGGAGTGTTTTAACCCAGGCGCCCCCACCACCAGGGGACGACCACTGTCAGTGAGGCCACCAACTCGACTCCGGGACGCTTGCGGCTGGATGGAGCACTTGGGAGCAGGCCACCCCCGCACGTGGTGCGGCGCTGGGCACCGTGCAGGCTGCACTCCTCAGGACAAGGAGCGCAGCAGCTTGGTATCACAGAAGCCAAGTTCACGTTCTAAAGGAGAGTCAGCAGACATTCAAGTGGGTGTCTGACCTGGGTGCTTAATTCTTGCCTATGATTTACTGACGACATCAAACTATGTTTGTTTGCCAACCCACTCCCGACCCACGCCCCCAAAACACAAGGCAGAACCCCATTAACTGCAAACAGGTCTATTTCCTTGGGGAACCAAGCATGACTACCTAAGTAACCTCTTAACTAACCTCAAGAGGAGAGAAATCATGATTGACTAGAAATGAGAGGCCGCCCACAGGGACCACCAGAAACTCCACTCGGAAAGTATCATGATTTCCATCGTAGGTTGCCTTAAATTTCATGTAGATCAGGTACACTGTGGCATAGGAGCAGGCAATGTAGATGAGCTAAAAAGATAAAAAAAAAAAAAGATGCTGGGTCATCGATATTACAATTGCTCCAATTCCCTTGGTTTTCTACATCAGCCACATATATATATATCAAATTTAAATATAGTAAAATCCACTTTTGGGGGGTATACAGTTTCATGCGTCATAAAACCACCACCACAATCAAGACACAGATCAGTCCTAACACCCACACCCCCGCCCAGTTCCCTCCTGCTGCCCTGCAGAGTCATGCCTTTCTCCAGGCCTAACCCCTGGCAAGTGCCAACGTGTTCTCAGTCCCTGCACTTTTGGCCTCTTCTAGAATCCCATCCCATAAACGGAACTGTGACAGTACGTCACCTTTCAGACCAGTTTTTCTCAGTCAACATAACCACCTGAGATCCAGCTGTGCTGTCCTGCGTATTAAGAACTGGTCCTCTTGTGTCTTTACGAAGAGGCAGCCACAGAGGTTCATCCACCCACCAGTTAGAAGACAGGTGGGTTGTTTACAGCTTGTGGGGTGGGGGATGGAGCTGCTGTGAACATCTGTGCACAGGCTTTTGTGTGAACATAAGCCTTCATTTCTCCTGGGTAAAGACCTAGGAGCAGGACTGCTGGATCATATGTTAAGTGTAAGTTTAACTTTTTAAGAGACTGCCAAGAAATGTTTTTTAAGAAATGTATTTTTAATCTCTTTGTAAATTATTAGATAGTTGCCTTAGAAAAGAAAATGAATGGCAAGTTCAATACAATTCAAAACAAAAGCACTTCCTTACAGCATGAAGATATTTCTGACCTAGCACTTTCCAAAAGATAATATAGACAAATAATTCATGTTACACTGTACAATGACAGTTTCTACTTAGGTTATTTTAACACTGAACATTCAAATTTTTGCTATGAAATTTTGTCTGGTAACAACAAAAGCAAAACCAAAAGTAAGTGATAATTGTACAATGCATAGCTATTCAAGGGCTTACAATTAAGTTATATGGTGTTTCACATTCAAAAGGAAAAACACTATATACTCATCTGAACCCAAGAAAAAGTCTGACATTCTGAGATTACACCAATTTTCAGACTGCAGAATTTTAGGGTCAAGAACCTATAAACACAGGCAGCTGGGGTATCAGCCACATGAGCTGGTCCTACTTCACGCCAGCCAAGTTGACTTGCAAAATTTCATTCAGAAAATACTGGGGTCAATCGACTTAAGAGGAAGATGAGAGCAATCATCAAGTCCTCATATACTTCAAAACAAAGACCTGAACTGTCCCAGGCATCTTGAAGCTATATTTGCAAATAGTCAACAAAATATCAAAACTGTCCACTATACCCATAATACTGAAGAAGCAACACATATATACCCCTTCTCAATGCAAAATCAAGGAAGATTAACACCTTATACTGTTAGAGGCATTCTCTCCACACAAAAATACAAGTATATATGCTAGTGAATAAACACATAGTCTATATGTATACACAAGACACACACATCTATGGACAGAGTCTCCCCCGCCCCGCCCCCAGAAGAACACCCAGTGGAGGCACAAGTTGGCCGGGGGTCGCTCCCCAGTCCCCCACCCACAACCAGCCCCAATGCATCCACGAAGGCTTAGCAGCCACTGAACAAAGGAGCTCTTTTTCTTCTCTCACCCATGCTTGCCATTTAAAATAAGAAGCCATGAGCACATAAAACCCGGCTCTCATGCCCCTGATTTTCAGGATTATGTTGGAAGCAACAATTAATCAAGTAAGGATTCCTGAAAGCCGGGCATCCTGAGAGGGAGGGGAGGGGATTCCTGCTCACACAAGCTCTGGCAGCTACAGTTTTAACTTGCCTGGACAATAAGCAAGGACACGCCATTTCTAAGGAAGCGAATTCCTGATGAGTCCCATCACTTAGTAACAGAGAATGGAACGACTCTAGGTAACTCGAATGTGCTTCTTAGTGAAAGCCATGGGCTTGAATATTGCTTTGTCTACTCTGAACTGTGCTTATAAAAATGCTTTTGAAAAAAAAAAAAAATGCTTTTGAACACAAAGCATTGCAGGAGTTGCTTTAAATACCATACCAATGACTTCAGCTTAAATACTACTTCCCGAGGCGCCCATAAGCACAGTGCCCAGCACACACCTGCCCGCTGAGCCTATGAAGAAGGAACGAGTGGAATCTGACATCCTGCGCGTATCCTGAGCGGCCCAGGCTTGCAATCATGGGAGCAATTGCAAACTAGTCATCTGTCCAGGGCTGCTGTGAGCGCCTGATCCCCTGCCAGAACCAAGGGTGCTGCCTGCCGTCTGCCAGCCCTCAGCGTGCCCCGGGGTGCTCACCATGTGCAAGTTCAATGCCTGCAGAGCGAACCCAGACTGCCTGGAGTGTGGCGCGTGTGCTACCCGCAGCGCACAAGAGTGTATGCAATTATGCTGCATTTTGAGAGCCATACATTTGTCTTCCTGTGAGTTAGGAAAACTGTGACACTGAAGGTGGCATGGATACTAGCACTGAGGACGAGTTAAAAGGCTCAGAAACCATATTAAGTAAACTACAGTGCAGATGTTGTTTAAGCATGGCCAAGGCAACAGGCAGACGCACGCCCAGGCCCCGCAGAGAGGCGGGGGAAGGCGGGGCAGCCGGGAGCCCGCCTGCCCTTCCTTGTCCTGAACCAACCTGCTGGCCTTTCCCAGGGACCCTGTAATTTCCCACTGCTTGAAAACGTAACAGTCACTCCTCTTTCTTCGAGGGTTTTCCAGAGCTTCAGAAGTTTATCACAATTGAGGAACTTAAGACCAAGAAATCTCTAAGTGCAAAGAGCTTTAATTAAATAGATACTGCTCTGATACGGGAAAGAATATGCTTAATGATAACTATTCCGAGCTTTACATACTAGGTGGTCTCAAAAGGCTTACGTCAACAACAGCACATCTAGACATTCTTCTTGAAGATGCTTAATTAAGTGCAGAGGTGACATAAGTTGAACAGTTTCCACAGGTCTGTGAATTATGGACAAAACACTCCATTGTGTGCCACACCATACCTTCATAGACGTATTATATAATGAAATAAATGAAGTAAAAAGATCCAGGTAACGAGTTGTGAAGACCAGTGCAAACAGAAGCTGGCTTTTCCCAGAAATACCTGAAGAAACAAAAGGAAAGTGTTAGAAATACACCAAGAGCTCTGTGATTCTTGAAGTCAATACCACGAGGGGACTGCAGGAACTCGGGACACCAGGCACCAAAGCCAAGGGCTGGGATGACTAACGCTCGAAAGCAGTTTCAGTCTTCCTTTCCCTCAACATCCTTGGACAGACAAGGCGATGAGGAACCAAGTCGGGGCTGTGCTTCAAGGAAAAGTCTGAGGAGTAATCCCCCGGCCTGGCCTCTTACAGTGACTGCTTTGGGGAGGGAGCATCACTTGGACGAAATAAAAACTTAAAACTTTTACTGTTTTAACATCTTGAAACTCTTTCTCCCTCCAGTCACCACCACCTCCCGAGCCCTGTCGGGGCACAGGGACGCTCAGCCGGGACGATGAGACGGTCCCCTGCCATCTGGATTTGGCCAAATAGTTGTGACAACAGACGTGCACCGTGGGTTTCAGCTGTTGGAGAAAGAGCGATTTTTTGAGGAAAGTGAATCTCACTAGGTGTCAGGACCCATCCACCCTCACCTACATTGTAAACTTCACATCATTAGACAATTAAGCAAGTTTGTGTTTAGTGGAAATGTCACTGCACCCAAATCATTAGCAATATTTTTCCAGAAGGTGGAAATCACACTGTTTTATTAAATGATATTTTACAAACAATCCTACTGTCCAAAGCAATTTTATAGCTTGTTGAAGCGAAAAGCCTAGCTCTGAGAACGTTATTTTTGTGGAGGAATAATTGCAGTTCCAGCCTATTCACAAAATACCTAAGAGAAACTAAAGGAACAGCTGTCTCTATCCCTCTGGATCCATCAGTAGTGACCAATTTCAAGCGCCAAGGGTGGAGATACAGATACAGAGAATATAAGCCTGCCCCTTTTAGTCTTTCCCCAGTGGTAGGGAAGTTTCTTTTTTTCTTATCACAGATCACTGTTCCAAAGGAGGACCAGTGAGACTGCTGCTGACACAGAGAAGACAAGCCGGGGAAAAGGACAGCGGGCGTGCAGTTCACATCTGATGACTGTGGAAGCCTCGTGAGAGAAATTTCCAGTTTATTTTCTGTGTGGTTCTTTCCCATATTTTAAATAAAAAAATGACAGAACACATATAGGCAAGTTTTGTTGTAAAGGGTTTATTCTCCTGAAATTTTGGAAGCCAGGTAAACTGAAATTTGTCCTTGTTTTCAGTATTCCTATACTAAAAATCAGGGACTGGCATATCGCTTTTACCACCCCCCTTTGCAACCCAATTCCCATCAAAGTCATCCTTGAAGACACCCTCCCTCGGCGCTGCTTATTCATCCAGCAAGTACAGAAGACCCACTTCCCCAGGCTGCTGCCCCGCTCCTGCGGCGGCACTTACAAAGTGCCCTGTGGTCATCTGGTCGCCCGTCTCCCTCCCCTCCAGAGCCCCAGCACACAGGGAGATCCTCACTTTGTATTCTCCGTGCTGAGCACGGGGTCTGACACACAGCAGGGCCCAGAAAATACCTGCTGAATGAATGCACAAATGGAAAAAAGAAACGGGAATTCAATTTATTTTCATGTCATGGGGGCAAACTCATTTTGTGGTTATTTTGAGATAAGACTTCCAAAGAGTTTTCAAGTTATACTGCGTCTCTGACTGTAAACAGGTGCGTGCTCTGCCCTAATTTACTGCCCGCCAGAGGGTGGGGCAGAGGAGACGGGGACAGGTGGCACGTGGCCTGCAGCTTGTCCTGTGGTGTAGAACCCGGGCAGGAACCACCATGCTGGAGACCTGGGCACTGTTTGCCCACACAGTTGTGCCTGATTCTTCCCGGCCTGGATCCCGATGAGCATGCAGCAGCTTTTCCCGTTAACACAGAAAACCTGTCCGGGGACACTCACTATGAAGCGGGAGGTGCTCCCACAGTCAGGTTCCAGGTTGAGACTGAAGGACACGAAGGCCAGGGTAACAAGCTCTGCAGACCACACACTCTCGGCGGTTCTGTAACAAATGTACTGCACCTCCACACCAGGGAGCACCTCCACACTAGGGAGCACAACTCGTAAAACGGAAACCAATCATCACACCCACCACCATTCCCATCTTCTCCCACTAGGCCAAGTGAACGTTAATGAACGCCTCCAACTAAGCGTTCCAGGGTTCGTGACCTTAAATTCAGCTGCGGTTAAAAGCTGCATTTCTCATATTCACACTGGTTTAGAGAACAAAACCCTCAACCAGACGCACAAGCCTTCCGTGAACTGTTTTTTCCTGCCAACACTGGATGCACCCAAGTGCCACAGGTGAGAGCAGCGGGAACACCTGCAGGGCAGCGCTCACCCGGCGCCCCGGGCACCATATGCCGACCCAGTCTCCAAGGACCCGGACGCTCTCCTGGAGCCCAGCGGTCAGCAGCTGGCTCAGAGCGCAGCCCCTGTGAGCAGGGGAAGAGGCTGGGAAGCCAGAGGTTTGGGCTCAAGCTCAGCTCTGAATGCACCAAGTCAGACAGGCTTGTTACATACTCAGCCCCCCAAACCTCACTTTCTGCACCTGCCAAACGGGGACAAATTATGGGCCTGTTGGGAAAAGTGTTTTTTCAATACCTGCCATGCTTGTGGATGCTTAGGGACAGCTCTTACTACGTACTGCTTTTCCTGTTTTCAGTGAAATCCATGCTATTTTATTAAAAATACCAACTGGGCCAACGTACATGGAATAAGAAGCAAAAAGACCTTGTAAACACCCCTCCCACCTCCATTGTAAATGTGACGCTCCAGGCTTTTTTAAAGCCTGTCTCATACGTGTATTTGTATGTGTACTCACACGTTTGTACCTTAAAATGGGCCATACTAAGTCTTCGTTTAAAACTTGCTTTCTCAACTTAGTATTTCAGACGTGTCTTCTCCTGTTAATGCTTCTACCTTATTCTTTTTAATGGCTGCATAGTGTTCTGCAGCGTGAATGTACCAACATTTGTGTGACTCCTCCACACAAGTGGGCGTTTGGGTTGTGTACAATTTTTGTTCTTGTAAATGCTCCATGAATATCTTTGTACCTATAAATAGAGTTCTATATATATTTAGGTACAACAAACATCTTTATATCTATATATTTAGCTTGTTCACCTACATGATAATTTCTGTAGTTCAAATTCCCTAGAAATGTTGGGATAAAATATATGAGCACTTTAACTTTTGAAACATTGTCAAATTTCTCCTACATAGGCTGTGCCAATTTACATATTCCCAACACCAGATGAGAATACTCTTTACTTCATATCTCTGCTTACATCAAGATGTAAACCTGACTTTTTCCCACCTAGTGGCAAACAATGGCATGCACTGCTCTTTTAATACCCAAGCTTCTAACTACTAGTGGCAGGGCATTCTTTCACTCTTAACTGCCCTTCTGTTATTTTTCTATAAACTGCCAGCTTTGCTCATTTACCTATCAGGGTGTTGTTTTTTTTTTTTAATTTGGAGGATTATATTAATTAATTAAATTTAAAATTAGTTTAAAATTAAAAATTAACTTAATTTTATGGTGGTTATTAACCTTTTGCCACTTAGATATATTGCAGATTATTTCTCTCAGTTTATTGTCCTTTGATTGTGATGATATTCTGAATTAGGAAGGTAATTTGGGGAGACGAATCATCCTGTCTCCTCTCCTCTGCCTGGTCCTATCCAGGACCAGGTATGGTATGAACATACATTTGGGCCTCTTCTACATCCATCAGCGAAGTTGCATACTTTCCTCATGGAGGTCTTATCCTCCTTGCTGTGAAATCAGGGGAGCCTTCCCCAGGGTCTTTCTCGCCACTTCACATCCATAGGGTTTACTACCTATGTGGTTTGATATCCTGTATTTTTATTCTATTTTTATTTTTTTTTAGTTCTACCACTTTATTGCTACCAACCCATCTCCCTCCACCCTTGTGCACACATGCTCAGTCATGTAATCCCATGGACTTCAGCCCACCAGACTCCTCTATCCATGGACTTTTCCAGGCAAGAATACTGGAGTGGGTTGCCATTTCCTTCTCCCTGTATTTTTATTTTTTATATATATCTTATTTCAACTAAATCGCAGCTTTCTTGAGAACAGAAACTGACAGTGGCAAGCTGCAGCTCAGAACTGTGTCCCCAGTGCCTTGAGGTCACGGAGTGGGTGGTCAGTAACAGCAAGCCATGATTACGCAGGAGCTGGGCACTCCAAAGAGCAGAGGTGACAGCTGCTTCAAAGAGGGGGCTGGGAACGGGAGGCAACAGCTTCCTGGAGTATTCAAAGACAATAAAAGGAGAGGTGTTCTCCTTGGGCTTCAAAAATATAAACTGTCACAACGAGGACGTACTCTACAGCACAGGAAACGATACTCAATATTTTGTAGTAAACTATAAGGGAAAGATTCTGAAAAAGAATACACACACACACATATCTGAACCACTTTGCTGTACACTTGAAACCAACCCAACACTGTAAATAAATCAACCACACTTTAATAAACAATAGAGAGAAACCTCCCCCAATCTGGAGAAGCCACTACAAAATAAACAAATAAATCAAACAAAATGCCAGTCCACTGCATACTACTTAAGACAATTTAAGAGGAAATATATTAAAACCTAAAACTTAAGCACATTTAAGAGCCAAGAAAATGGCTCCTTTTTGTAAATCAGATACATTCACTGCAAATAAACTATCTCCTAATAAAACTCAAAATATAAAGGCCACACACACACATGTATACTCTGTACAATTACAAGAAACGCAGGGACACTGTACATTGCTGTCAAGTTTAGGAGGATGAAAAACCTGCAACTTACAAGACAACAGCTAACAACAACCTAAGTAACAGGTAGAGGAGAGAAGGGAAGGACCAGGGAGGAAGGCTGGGAGCCTTGAGCTCGGAAGAAGCCATCAGTAGCTTAAGCCCACTAGACACTATACCAATAACTATCAGCCCACAGGAAAAGGCAGACAGGAAGTTCCTCACCTACAAACCAAGGTGTGTTCCCCCAACACTCCGCAGGTCCATGTTTAGGACACTGAAGTGATAACCTGAGCACACTGTGGGTCCAGCTGCACTCAAGATGCAGGAAGACGAGGAACTCACATTTCATTCAGCCCTCCATCATGACAATGCAGACACCGGAGAATGCCATTTCTAACAAAACCAATAGCAACTCCCAGCCTCTACTTTAAAAGGTCCTTTATGGCTGTTGTTCTGGAATTAGAAGGTCAAGAAAGCAGAATCTTCCTCACTAAACTGTCTCATCCCTTACCCTAAGGGGAAAAAGCCTCGTGGTTCTACAGATGCACCTATGTTCCAAATAAGGGCCAAAATCCTAAAATGAATCCCAATACCAGTATTTTCAAAGTGAGAAACACAACCTGAATGTACCTCTCTCCTATTCTAGTTATTTGAGAAACTCATATCAAATTCTTACCCTTTCAAAAGTCCCTAAAAACTTTAAATTAGGATGGAAAAACAAGGCAGCTAGTCAAATTCAGCATTTAATTCTGAATAAATGATCTTGGTGATTTTGATCTTTATAAGGCTAGAAAATCTCATATGTAAGAACTAAAATGATCCTAAGTCTGACAACGAGGCTGGTTTAGTAACTATTGGAATACCAAGCAAACATACACAAATTTAACTCACTCATTTATCTTCCTTGCTTTTTTGGCTTAAGTATTTTATATTTTCCTAAATACTCCTAAATCTCCCAAATGAAAATAGTGAATGTCAAAAAACAACAAACAAAACAGCAAACTCGTTCACTCTCTCTTATTACTCAGTGCTTCCTCAAAAATTCCATATTCAGCATTGTACTAACTTCCCCCCAATATCTTAGTTTAGATCCATGTTTAGGAGATAGTGTGCTTCAATATTTAATGCCTTGACAGAGAATGGGATTCCGAGGAACATATAAAAGATTAAGAGACTCATACAAAGACTTTGGAGCAAAAATAAACATTTCTGGTGAGGGGGTGGGCAAAATGGGTAAAGGTAGTCAATAGGCACAAACTTCCAGTTAGAAGATAAAGAAACTTTGGGGATGTTACATACAATGGGGACTATAGTTAACAAGACTGTATTGCATAGTTACTAGAAGAGTAGATCTTAAAAGCTTTCATCACAAGAGAAAAAAGTCTCTATGTGTGGTGATGGATGTTAACTAAACTTACTGTAGTAATCGTCTCCCAATACGTATATCAAATCCGTATGCTGTACACCTAAAACTAATACAATGTTATATGTCGATTATATCTTGATAAAGCAGGGATTAAAGATAACATTTCTTAGGGACTGCCCTGGAAAGTACAGTCTTCCCAGTGGTCAGGACTTCACCTAACAATGCAAGGGGCGCAGGTCTGAACCCTGGTCAGGGAGCTAGGATCCCTCATGCCTCAGGGAAAAAACCAAGACATAAAACAGAAGCAATATCGTAACAAATTCAATCAAGACTTTAAAAATGGTCCACATCAAAAAAAAAAAAATCTTAAAAATAAAATAACATTTTCTGAGTACAGCAAGAAATGACTTGAACTACTGACCTGGCATCAAATGCCTAAACCAAAACTACACAGACCAGATAGACATTTATGCAAATCTTTCACTGTGAGTTACCCCTTGCCTGTGCGCCAATCCTGGCTCAACAGTAATCTCGCCTCCCTGCGCCTGTTACCTCCTCTGCAGAATGGGGGCAAGGGTACTCCCTTCATAAGGTTATTTCAAGGACTACGTGAAAGTGTTAGCCACTCAGTCATGTCTGACTTTTTGCGACCCCTTGCACTGCAGCCCACCAGGCTCCCCTGTCCATGGAACTCTCCAGGCAAGAATACTGGAGAGGGTTGCCACTCCCTTCTTCAGGGGATCTTCCCAACCCAGGGACCAGACCCAGGTCTCCCGCATTGCAGGCAGATTTCTTTACAGTCTGAGCCACAAAGGATTATGTGGTATAAGCCATATAAGGCATTTACCTCACTACCAACACACAGCAAGCGCTTAAATATCAGCTCTCACAATCACTGAGATTACTTCGCAGTCATTGGCTGAAATTACTTCACTGTCATTGGAAATGGTACAACCGAACCTCTTGGAACTATGCATAAATTGAGATCATCTCCAAGCCAAACACACTGGTTTCAGTACATGGACTTTGTAACATCCATTTTGACTGCTCAAAGGTCTTTTTTGGTTCTTCTTACTTCCTGGATCTCAGCTGTGTTCCAGGGAGACAGGTGAGGCCTAAAGACTACAGCCGAAGAGGAGGTGGTATTACTTTAAAGGCGAAAATAGGGAGAAATCAACCAGGTACAAGGAATTCTCTGCCACCCAGGTCATTTGGGACTCCATCTTTTACTATCTCTGCAAAAATTAAGTTCTTTAATTCTCCAAACGTTTATTACACTGAGGACATGGCATCAAAAATATGTGTAAGGAAGACTCTGTACTTAAGAAATCATTTAAAAATTCGCCGTTCTTAAGCTTTTAGGGCTAATGAAACGCAAAACCCTGCAAGGACTAGCTGAGAAAGATGGGTTTCACTGCCTCCCAGCAGCGTGTGCATGAAACGTGTACTCGCGAGGAGCCGCCAACTCACTGGTGACGTGGAGTGAGGAATTACAGGAGACCACAGGAGACCTCAGCGGTACCCGGCGGCGCGACGCAGGTCTAAGAAAACCCGTTATTAGATGGAGGCGCTCAGAGGAGTTTTGACAAACTAGATCGTCCCTCAAAGCAGCATTAACCGCCCCAAGAAATTCGCTTAGAGATCTCACCACAGGCCCCTCCCGCGGCAGGCGCGATCCGGGACCCGAGAGCTGCGTTGAAGCCCACGGGACTCTAAAGGACAGGCCTGCCCGGGCACCTTCACGGAAAGGCCAGTCCTCCCAGGGGCAGGGTGGGGAGCGGGGTGACCTCTCCCCACGTCCGCCCCACCTCCTGGGCTGGGTCGGCTGCCACGTCAGGCCCAGCGCCGCGGTCCTGCCCATCCTCCTCCTGCGCGTCCCATTGATTCGCGGGTTCCCTGCACCTCGGGACCCCCCCTCCTCCTACCCAGGCGCGCGGAGAAGCGCCCACTGAAGCCGGGGGCGCAGGGGACCGGCCTGCTGGAGCCCCCGCCCCGCAGCCAAACTTTTCAGATCCAATAAGGCCCCGCGCGGTCCACTTGGCGCCTCCCCAGCCCCCGACGGCTCAAGTTCGCAGCCGACCAAGTGCAGAGTCGGGCCCAGGGCCCCGACACCGCGTCCCGGCTAGAGCTCCTACCCCCTAGGGGCTGCAGGCTCCCACCGGGGGCCGGCCGCCCGCCAGCCCGGCCGAGGGGGGTGTGTCGGGCCGGCGCAGGCCCGCGGGCCCTGGAGCAGCCGAGATCGCCCGGTCCTCCCAGGGACCCGGCCCCGCGCCCGAGCCTCTCCCGGGCCTCGCCCGCCGCTCACCGGCGCAGGAGCGCGTCTTCCAGATTTTCAGCAGCAGGATGACGATGGCCGCCAGGTGGGACAGGTCCCCGGTCAGCCGGAAGATGTTCATGGCGGCGGCGGCGGTCTGCGCGGCGGCCCCAGGCTCGGCGGCTCAGGCAGCGGCGGCGGCGGCGGCGGCCCCTGAGAGGAAGCGGCGAAGATGGCGAGAGCGGGCGCGACGTGGCCAGGGACGTGGCCGAACTGCCGGCGCGCGCGCAGGGCAGCTTGGGAGAGCGGGCGACCGCCAGGCCCCGCCCCTGCCCCGCTTCTTAAAGGGGACGCGCCGAGTGCAGGCCGGGCGACAGCGCGGCTGCGGGGCTCCTTCCGTGGGACCCTGACTCCTTGCCAACTTCCCCCCCGCCTGGTTTCCGGCTTCCCCAGGGGTGCCAGCGATTTCCTTTAACTTTTGAAATGACACTCCCCTGTGAGGGATTTCCCCCCCACCCCACTGTTTTTAAGAGCTCTATCAGTTCAGTTCAGTTCAATTCAGTCGCTCAGTCGGGTCCGACTCTTTGTGACCCCATGAACCGCAGCACGCCAGGCCTCCGTGTCCATCACCAACTCCCGGAGTTTACTCAAACTCACGTCCATTGAGTCGGTGATGCCACCCAACCATCTCATCCTCTGTTGCCCCCTTCTCCTCCCGCCTTCAATCTTTCCCAGCATCAGGGTCTTTTCCAATCAGTCAGTTCTTCGCATCAGGTGGCCAAAGTATTGGAGCTTCAGCCTCAGCATCAGCCCTTCCAGGACTGATTTCCTCTAGGATTGACTGGTTGGATCTCCTTTCAGTCCAAGGGACTCTCAAGAGTCTTCTCCAACACCACAGTTCAAAAGCATCAATTTTTCGGCGCTCAGCTTTCTTCACAGTCTAACTCTCACATACATACATGACCACTGGAAAAACCATTGCGTTGACTAGATAGACCTTTGTTGACAAAGTAATGTCTCTGCTTTTTAATATGCTCTATAGGTTTACTGTATAAACATGTATAAGAGGGGGAAAATTGATGTGATTGCATCACTCAAGGTGTATATTGGGGATATTGGGAAGGGTGCGGTTTATGCAAGAGTCTAAAGATTTTATTATTCTGAAGACTGAGAAAGTGTGCAAAATTAGATTAGAAAATGAACATTTCTGTAGGATGTGAAAATCACAAATTTCTAATGGGATGAAGTTGATAAACAGGACAAGGCTGCATAATTTACAGAGCCCAGTGCAAAATGAAAACATGGGTTCCTCAATTGTTCAAAAGCAGGAAAAAAGTGCTATTAAAGGTACTAAAATGTAAAGCTTTTCCCTTTATTTTGCGTTCTCTTTCGACTTGTTTCCTGTTTGCTATTTAATGTCGTTCTAAGTAAAGAAAAAAAGAAAATTTTAAATCATGGTCATGAATTTTACCGTTTGTCTTTATATTGTACTGTATCATTTTTGACGGCAAATATCAGAGCATGTAACACGGATGCAGAACGGAGTGTGGGTCCAAGAAAGCCCGTGATTAGCTTTGGTTTTGGACCTGGATCCCGCGCAGCAGACCTGGCATTGGAGGCCCCATTAGTGGGGGGAGCACAGACACCCCCTGGCAGAAAGTAGTGATCAAATTATGAAAACTCTCACTGGTGGTGGACTGGGAGGGGGTTAACAGTGGGAGAGAAGATACCAGTGAGTGCGAGACGCATCAGTCAGTGAACCGCATACAGGAGATGATGGACCCGAGGACAGCGGAATGGTCTGGGTGCTCCCAAGTGGTACCGACACTCAACATGAGTGTCATTCATGAAACATTCAGGACAAGCAACAGTCCCTTAAAGGCAGTCTAGGAAGCCAATAGGCCTCCCTGACTGTCTGCAGGGAAGTCCTCCTGCCCTGCAGAAGGAGGGGGAGTCAGGGCTCAAGCCTGAACTTTCATAGTTCCAGCCCCGGGGCTGAACTTGAATGAAAATTTTGATGCACCCAGTTTGTGTGAACTATTAAGATGGCTTCCAGAAGCCTGGAGAAAACGATGGCTCTCGGTGAATGAGGTCGAAATGCTAGGGTGTCAGGGTGTGGTGGGAATTCTTAATAATGTACTTTCACAGCCTTGAGAAATTCTGCAGAAATAGCACCTGGAAAAACTGCATATATTAAGAAACTGTGTTAATGATTATCTTTCATGTTTTTCTTAGAATAATAGCCTTGTTACAAAACCCAAGACCAGGCCCAGAAGGGAGTATGACTGGGTTCATGAAAGCCTGGACCTTGAAACCCTGGGTCAGGGGTCCGGCACGAACACTGCCCGTGCACTTGCTGATTGTTCCTGAGACTAGCCCAGAAGGGGACGGCCTGGGGTGAAAACAAGGAGAGCTGGACTATGTCAGTGTAGTGTCTTGAGAAAGGTAAGATCAAAGAAATTCTTGTAGCTACAATGAGGAACCAAAGCTGGACTCAGACTCTGCATAGCAGTCCAGTAGAGGCTACAGGTCCCCTGACCCACGGCACCAGGGTTCGTGTTCTGTCTTCTTTTTTTTTTTCTATTTTTTTTTCTTTTATTTTTTATTTTTATTTCATTTATTTTTATTAGTTGGAGGCTAATTACTTTACATCATTGTAGTGGTTTTTGTCATACATTGAAATGAATTAGTCATGGATTTACATGTATTCCCCATCCCAGTCCCCCCTCCCACCTCCCTCTCCACCCAATCCCTCTGGGTCTTCCCAGTGCACCAGGCCCGAGCACTTGTCTCATGCACCCAACCTGGGCTGGTGATCTGTTTCACCCTAGATAATTTACATGTTTCGATGCTGTTCTCTTGAAACATCCCACCCTCACCTTCTCCCAGAGTCCACAAGTCTGTTCTATACATAGGAGTCTCTTTTTTCTGTTTTGCACATAGGGTTATCATTACCATCTTTCTAAATTCCATATATATGTGTTAGTATACTGTAATGGTCTTTATCTTTCTGGCTTACTTCACTCTGTATAATGGGCTCCAGTTTCATCCATCTCATTAGAACTGATTCAAATGAATTCTTTTTAATGGCTGAGTAATATTCCATGGTGTATATGTACCACAGCTTCCTCATCCATTCATCTGCTGATGGGCATCTAGGTTGCTTCCATGTCTTGGCTATTATAAACAGTGCTGCGATGAACATTGGGGTACACGTGTCTCTTTCAGATCTGGTTTCCTCGGTGTGTATGCCCAGAAGTGGGATTGCTGGGTCATATGGCAGTTCTATTTCCAGCTTTTTAAGAAATCTCCACACTGTTTTCCATAGTGGCTGTACTAGTTTGCATTCCCACCAACAGTGTAAGAGGGTTCCCTTTTCTCCACACCCTCTCCAGCATTTATTGCTTGTAGACTTTTGGATAGCAGCCATCCTGACTGGTGTGTAATGGTACCTCATTGTGGTTTTGATTTGCATTTCTCTGATAATGAGTGATGTTGAGCATCTTTTCATGTGTTTGTTAGCCATCTGTATGTCTTCCTTGGAGAAATGTCTGTTTAGTTCTTTGGCCCATTTTTTAATTGGGTCATTTATTTTTCTGGAGTTGAGCTGGAGGAGTTGCTTGTATATTTTTGAGATTAATCCTTTGTCTGTTGCTTCGTTTGCTATTATTTTCTCCCAATCTGAAGGCTGTCTTTTCACCTTGCTTATAGTTTCCTTTGTTGTGCAAAAGCTTTTAAGTTTCATTAGGTCCCATTTGTTTATTTTTGCTTTTATTTCTAAAATTCTGGGATGTGGGTCATAGAGGATCCTGCTGTGATTTATGTCGGAGAGTGTTTTGCCTATGTTCTCCTCTAGGAGTTTTATAGTTTCTGGTCTTACATTTAGATCTTTAATCCATTTTGAGTTTATTTTTGTGTATGGTGTTAGAAAGTGTTCTAGTTTCATTCTTTTACAGGTGGTTGACCAGTTTTCCCAGCACCACTTGTTAAAGAGGTTGTCTTTTTTCCATTGTATATCCTTGCCTCCTTTGTCAAAGATAAGGTGACCATAGGTTCGTGGATTTATCTCTGGGCTTTCTATTCTGTTCCATTGATCTATATTTCTGTCTTTGTGCCAGTACCATACTGTCTTGATGACTGTGGCTTTGTAGTATAGTCTGAAGTCAGGCAGATTGATTCCTCCAGTTCCATTCTTCTTTCTCAGGATTACTTTGGCTATTCGAGGTTTTTTGTATTTCCATACAAATTGTGAAATTATTCGTTCTAGTTCTGTGAAAAATACCGTTGGTAGTTTGATAGGGATTGCATTGAATCTGTAGATTGCTTTGGGTAGTATAGCCATTTTGACAATATTGATTCTTCCAATCCATGAACACGGTATATTTCTCCATCTGTTTGTGTCCTCTTTGATTTCTTTCATCAGTGTTTTATAGTTTTCTATGTATAGGTCTTTTGTTTCTTTAGGTAGATATACTCCTAAGTATTTTATTCTTTTTGTTGCAATGGTGAATGGTATTGTTTCCTTAATTTCTCTGTTTTCTCATTGTTAGTGTATAGGAATGCAAGAGATTTCTGTGTGTTAATTTTATATCCTGCAACTTTACTGTATTCGTTGATTAGCTCTAGTAATTTTCTGGTAGAGTCTTTAGGGTTTTCTATGTAGAGGATCATGTCATCTGCAAACAGCGAGAGTTTCACTTCTTCTTTTCCTATCTGGATTCCTTTTACTTCTTTTTCTGCTCTGATTGCTGTGGCCAAAACTTCCAAAACTATGTTGAATAGTAGTGGTGAGAGTGGGCACCCTTGTCTTGTTCCTGATTTCAGGGGAAATGCCTTCAATTTTTCACCATTGAGGGTGATGCTTGCTGTGGGTTTGTCATATATAGCTTTTATTATGTTGAGGTATGTTCCTTCTATTCCTGCTTTCTGGAGAGTTTTAATCATAAATGGATGTTGAATTTTGTCAAAGGCTTTTTCTGCATCTATTGAGATAATCATATGGTTTTTATCTTTCAATTTGTTAATGTGGTGTATTACATTGATTGATTTGCGGATATTAAAGAATCCTTGCATTCCTGGGATAAAGCCCACTTGGTCATGATGTATGATTTTTTTAATATGTTGTTGGATTCTGTTTGCTAG